GGCAATTACTCGATCATGTGACGTCCACATACACACCTTGTCAGTAACTGATACCCCCTGGTCCCTTATATGGCACATCTCAAGGTGAAATGATTTTTGGGAACCCAAGTTACCCATATACCAAAAAGTATGGATCCATTTAGTGTACAGCCAAGAAGCCAAGATGTATCATAAGCAATAAACTGAAGATCATTTCTAGATCTCCCACTGGTCATTGAACAATGGGTGTGAAGCCCACTTCTGGTGATATTGCTGGAATATTCCTAAATGCGGCGTAAAAAGATACTCACTCACCCACTCATTGAACAATGGCTGACACACTGATACAGCCTACAGCGTGATGATTAAGCCACTGCCATGTTAAGTCAGAGACCATTATCTATGTTGGAAAACAACTGCCATGATCGCTTGCAAGGATCGGATCAATCATTTGGACAATAGTGCTGACATTATTATAACTGGTGACTAAAAGTAGTTACAGATACAAAATATAGTTTCCATGGCAGCTCAGTAAGACACCACTTAGGGACAATTAGATGATTGGCTTCCTTGTCTTTCTTTGAAAGGGCACCTGTTCGATATATATAATGAATGTCATTTAGTGGGAACAATGGTCTTCAAAACCATGTTGACATTAATGATAGATAAGACAACTGGTCTGATTTTGACAAAATTGTATGATATTTCATTGTCAGAATATTTGATAAGGGTTTCAGTGATTAACTGGTTTATTTAGAAGGTATGATAACCAAATTTCTATCATAAAACAAACAAATCAAATGTTTAACGAAATAATTGTTTTCAAAACAAAAAATAATGCAACATAGCTTTCTTTGCATAGGTGGATCCAGACGGGTGGTCCAGGGGATCCAGCCCCCACCCCATTTGAAAACAAATTAGGCAGTAAATTGACTGAGAGTGGATCTTGATATTTTCAACCTCTCCTTTTTAAAAATGCAGGATCCGTCCTTGCTTTGTCAGGGGCAGTGGTAAATGGTGAATGGACCTTACCATAAAATCTGAAGAGTGTTGTCTTTGTCTGTGTGTTGTGGGATCAGTCTACAGACCGTCATACACAGGTCATGAGGCTGTGTGTACAACTGGTAGGTCAGTGTATGTTACAGTGGTATGTGGAGCAGATCTTCAAGTGTTTGTATATACGTCGGGAGGTTCAAAGAAAATACTAGCTTTGAGAACCATCAATCTTGAAGACATGGAAAACAATGTAATATTTCAGGTTGTCTGGAGATGACTATTATTTGTGATGGGTCAACACATAACACTATATTTATGTACACAGTCTTTTTATGCATCACGGAATTAACTAGGATTTTATACCCTGGTGCCCATGACAGGCCAATTAAGAAAACAAAACTATTTGTCTAATATTTATCAATCTATTTTGTAAGTCCCTAGTTTGTAAAATGCAGAGATGTTTTGACATTTCATTCATTTTAATAATATAAAACTAACTGATTTTAACATATAACATTGGCCAGATTTAGTAGATGTTTGGATAAGATGTTACATAAAATTGAAATTTAATTTTCTCTCCAAGAAATATTCAAAATTGCCTGTTTAGCTATATTTTCAAGGATTTCTTTTCAAAGACATTATTTCAAAGTTGATTGAAATAACATCCACGTTTATTTAGTGTATCATATTTCCATTCTATATCGATACATACCCTGAACCCATCTTGACTTGTGCATGCAATTACAAGTACAACCCCATTTTCTTGTAGCATAAAAATCTCCCTCCTGTGTCTTAAAACATCTCTTCCAGCTAAAAAGTAATTCACAATAGTCTGCAAGCGCTCATTTAATTGAGGCCACAGTTTTAAACGTACATCTATGCCAAACTCACATTTAGAAGAGTCATTTTGATGTGGGCGTTGATTTCAAGCTCATGAGCCAGAGAAATTCTGTGATGAGAGAGGTGGAGGTGATGAGGTAACTCTCATTATAATGGGTGGCAAAGAGGCATAAAGTAACTATTTTAATAGAACAGAGATACGATTCACTGTTAAATCGTGGATGTTGAAATAAAGGCTGACCCATTAGTTCAATCTGGAAAATGTTTAGAAAAGGTAGAAGTTCAATTCAGGACAGTGATCCTACCGGTATTTGTTTTTGTGTAAGAAGTGTGTGAACAATTTGTGATAGGCCTATTAGAAAAAAAACCCAGAAAGAAAAAAGTCCTGATTGACAGTGAATATCGTTTCATTATTGATATATGTATCACTGTCAACTATAAACAGTGGTCTAACTGGCAGGCTGACATGCAATACTGAGCTGAGAACAAGCTAATGTTGGAGAAAAAACAGTTTCATTAAACATGCAACTGTGGGGTCTTTTTGTTGGTGAACCTTAAGGTATAAAGAATCCCATAAGTATGAATTAAGCATGAAGTGAAGTCCCCAGCAAGTGGTGTTGACTGTGTGTGTAGCACTGATTCCACTCATCAATAGCCATATCATGCAGTAAGTGGCCAGCTTGGCCTGCCTGGTCAGTTGACCCTTCCAAATCAGCCAGCGGGATTTAGAGGCCTTAGGTGCAAGCCAGGTGATTGTCGACTTTGGCTGAGATCGATGAGATCAGTTTGATATGACTGATTGCTTTTGTGAGTGCAAAGCCTCATGACAGGGTGCTGGCACTTGAGTCGAGGGAGGTTGCTGTGATACCCTCTCTCGCTGTACAGCATCATGGAGACTCATGATTGTCTGGAGGACATCAAGTCTTTACCTATATGTCAAGTAAATAAAGAAATATAGATGATAGTACCATGTTAGTAATATGGCACTAACAGCCTTGTCATTAAATAATGTAGTACCAACAATGTTTCTCTGTTGTAAAATATCGTAGTACCAACATTATTTCACTGTAGATGAAAATTTCGTAGTACCAACATTGTTTCACTGTAGATGTAAAATATCGTAGTACAAGCATTATTTCACTGTAGATGTAAAATAATGGAGTACCAACATTATTTCACTGTAGATGTAAAATATCGTAGTACCAACATTATTTCACTGTAGATGTAAAATATCCTTGTACCAACATTGTTTCACTGTAGATGTAAAATATCGTAGTACCAACATTGTTTCACTGTAGATGTAAAATATTGTAGTACCAACATTGTTTCACTGTAGATGTAAAATATTGTGGTACCAACATTGTTTCACTGTAGATGTAAAATATTGTAGTACCAACATTGTTTCACTGTAGATGTAAAATATTGTGGTACCAACATTATTTCACTGTAGATTTCAAATATCGTAGTACCAACATTGTTTCACTGTAGATGTAAATATCCTAGTACCAACATTGTTTCACTGTAGATGTAAAATATTGTAGTACCAACATTGTTTCACTGTAGATGTAAATATCGTAGTACCAACATTGTTTCACTGTAGATGTAAATATCCTAGTACCAACATTGTTTCACTGTAGATGTAAAATATTGTGGTACCAACATTGTTTCACTGTAGATGTAAAATATTGTAGTACCAACATTGTTTCACTGTAGATGTAAAATATTGTGGTACCAACATTATTTCACTGTAGATTTCAAATATCGTAGTACCAACATTGTTTCACTGTAGATGTAAATATCCTAGTACCAACATTGTTTCACTGTAGATGTAAAATATTGTAGTACCAACATTGTTTCACTGTAGATGTAAATATTGTAGTACCAACATTGTTTCACTGTAGATGTAAAATATCCTTGTACCAACATTGTTTCACTGTAGATGTAAATATCCTAGTACCAACATTGTTTCACTGTAGATGTAAAATATTGTAGTACCAACATTGTTTCACTGTAGATGTAAAATATTGTAGTACCAACATTGTTTCACTGTAGATGTAAATATTGTAGTACCAACATTGTTTCACTGTAGATGTAAAATATCCTTGTACCAACATTGTTTCACTGTAGATGTAAATATTGTAGTGCCAACATTGTTTCACTGTAGATGTAAATATTGTAGTGCCAACATTGTTTCACTGTAGATGTAAATATTGTAGTGCCAACATTGTTTCACTGTAGATGTAAATATTGTAGTGCCAACATTGTTTCACTGTAGATGTAAATATTGTAGTGCCAACATTGTTTCACTGTAGATGTAAATATTGTAGTGCCAACATTGTTTCACTGTAGATGTAAAATATCCTTGTCCAACATTGTTTCACTGCTATACCAGAGGTAGTACCGACAGTGTTTTCCCTGTTATAACAGAGGTAGTACCAACAGTGTTTCACTGTTATAACAGAGTAAGTACAAACAGTGTTTCACTGTTGTAACAGAGGTAGTACCAACAGTGTTTCACTGTTATAACAGAGGTAGTACCAACAATGTTTCACTGTTATAACAGAGGTAGTACCAACAATGTTTCACAGTTATTAATCCCAGCACAAAATGGGACAGGGGGATATAGAAACAGAGTTTGTCTGTCCATCTGTCTGCTTCTCAAAGGGGACACATTTTCTCAAATATGATTTAAGTTAGAGAAATTTCCATCCCTGCACTGTATCATAAATTTGGTGGTTCTCTCTAGCATTGTATTTATATCATGTATATTGAGATTTCAAAGTTACTTCAGAAGCTGAAATGACATCATGAACTTTATTTCAAAAAGTAGTATTACCCACCTGTGTTTCTGTATCGTAAATACAATATGTTAGGAATAAAAATATGCATTATGCCTGGAAAGACTCACATAATACATTCTTTATTCTTAAGATATCCTATTATGATGCAGTTCACACTCAGCTAATAGACTCTATTTATGAACTTGATGTTTCAGAAGCTAAGTTTGTTTTTGTTGCTTTTTCCGTTAGTCTTCTTGATAATATTTCACATATTAATCATTTACATAATGTACATGCCATGTTAACATTGGTAACAGATTCTGTAACATAATACAGTAATAGTAACATTAGTGACAGAATCTGTAACTATGAGAACTTGCTCATTAGATTGTTTCACATTCACAGATGGTTGTGTTGCTTGACCCCTTGGATGATCCTGATGACATTCTCCGCCAAAACCGATCCCGTGAGAAGCAGTTTGTGTTTGACACCACCTTCGATGGATCAGCTACACAGGTAGGAGATCAAGCAAACTTTGAATCATTTCAGAAATTGACATAGGTCTGTCTACTGTTTCCATGGGAATATCAACACAACGTTCTATGTAAATCTTTGATCATGGGATTTGATAGAATGAGTGTTGACTTAGTATACTAACAAAGTGTCTTAAATTGATACATATGTTCTGACAAAACTCTCCAACCATCTAAAATTGATTTCATTGTTTACCGTGGTGTTCTAATCAATCCCATGTTATTGTCAAGCTATCTATGGAAATATTGACAAGCTGTGGGTACCTGTCTCTCGGCCCAGCCCTATCTCTGTTGTATGTTATTAACATGTCTACCTGGATGTTGACTGGATATGATAAATAATGAATTGCACCAACAAGAAGTCATCTGGTGTTGGCTGGATACATTGTGTCCCGGTGTGTATCAATAGAAACAGTGTTCTACGCAACTCATCATGAACATGGTTATTGACAAGAATCCTACACTTAGTAGGACGTTTTATAACTTTGACATTAAGAAATAACAGTGTGGGTAATGCAGGCAGGGTGGAATGGTTTGTATGTTGTTAAATCTGTATTCTACAGGTCATGGGATTGTAACAATGTCAGTAAAATACACACATTAGTGTTGAGTATTTAAGTTTCTTAAAGCATTAAGAGAGAAAGTCATTACTTCTTGCGGTTAGCTAAAGCTACTGAATGTTTGCTTGTCATTACGACCAGCGGATTATTAAACAATATAATCGATCAATACAGGGCACCATGGTGTGCTTGTCAATGTACAATGTACAGCGTAGCTTGCATTTGTCAGCCAACACAGTGGCACGGGTAGCTTGGGCTCAAATACCATTATGTGATCTAATGTGAGTTTGCTTGGGCAAGGCTTGAACACCTTGGGTTTGTCTTGAAGTTCGTCACACTGTCCACCATGGTCCGTCTGGGCCAGGCTCAAATACCATCACACCGTCGACCATGGTCCGTCAGGGCCAGGCTCAAATACCATCACACCGTCGACCATGGTCCGTCAGGGCCAGGCTCAAATACCATCAAACTGTCGACCATGGTCCGTCTGGGCAAGGCTCAAATACCATCCCACTGTCGACCATGGTCCGTCAGGGCCAGGCTCAAATACCATCACACCGTCGACCATGGTCCGTCAGGGCCAGGCTCAAATGCCATCACACCGTCGACCATGGTCCATCAGGGCCAGGCTCAAATACCATCAAACTGTCGACCATGGTCCGTCTGGGCAAGGCTCAAATACCATCCCACTGTCTGTCAGGGCCAGGCTCAAATACCATCAAACTGTCGACCATGGTCTGTCAGGGCCAGGTTCAAATACCATCACACTGTCGACCATGGTCTGTCTGAGCAAGGCTCAAATACCATCACACTGTCTACCATGGTCCGTCTGAGCAAGGCTCAAATACCATCAAACTGTCAACCATGGTCTGTCAGGGCCAGGCTCAAATACCATCCCACTGTCTACCATGGTCTGTCTGGGCCAGGCTCAAATACCATCACATTGTCGACCATGGTCTGTCAGGGCCAGGCTCAAATACCATCACATTGTCGACCATGGTCTGTCAGGGCCAGGCTCAAATACCATCACATTATCCACCATGGTCTGTCAGGGCCAGGCTCAAATACCATAAAACTGCCGACCATGGTCTGTCAGGGCCAGGCTCAAATACCATCACACTGTCGACCATGGTCTGTCAGGGCCAGGCTCAAATACCATCAAACTGCCGACCATGGTCTGTCTGGGCCAGGCTCAAATACCATCAAACTGTCTACCATGGTCTGTCAGGGCCAGGCTCAAATACCATCAAACGGTCTACCATGGTCTGTCAGGGCCAGGCTCAAATACCATCACATTGTCCACCATGGTCCGTCAGGGCCAGGCTCAAATACCGTCACATTATCCACCATGGTCCGTCAGGGCCAGGCTCAAATACCATCACATTGTCCACCATGGTCCGTCAGGGCCAGGCTCAAATACCGTCACATTATCCACCATGGTCCGTCAGGGCCAGGCTCAAATACCATCACATTGTCGACCATGGTCCATCAGGGCCAGGCTCAAATACCATCACACTGTCTACCATGGTCTGTCTAGGCCATGGTTTGTTATGGCCAAATTTGAATACATTCAGGCTGAATACCACAATTTTGTCTTGGTCACTCACTCACTCACTCACTCACTCACTCACTCACTCACTCACTCACTCACTCGTAAATACCAGAATTCTATCTTCTATCTCCTATCTTCCAGCTGCTGTTAATATGTTGTATTTGCATATAAAGTATGGCTAGTTCCACTGGCAGTTGTTGCAGAGGGGAGTGTGTTGGTGGGGATGTATCTGGTGACATTCACTGAGACACCAGATACTGTAGTACTGTTCATCCTATCAAATATGGATGATTCTCCCTATCACATTACTTACCCTGCTTCATATCGCCGATGTATTAACCTCCTCCATGCATCACACTACAGCTATACAGTTTGGGCAAGCAACCTGGCTTCAATATCATTCAAATTTGGTCACAGTTAATTATATGTTGTACTTTCCTACACAGCATTCTCCAAAAGGGGATTGTTGGTGAAGTCTATGAATCTTAGTTTTTCATTGTTTTTAAGTGATGCTGTTCAGTGTTTGAAAGGTCAGTTACCATGGCAACAATGATGAATGGAGTATGCTTTACAATATGGTAGCTGAATAGTGAATGACATTGTGTCACTAGACTACAAAGGTCATAATAGTTTCCCGCACTGTTAGGGTAGTTGTGTTTTGACAAAAGTGTTCATTAAAACACTGCAATAAAAGATTGTAGAAATATTTTAGTGTTTGTATCTTTTAAAAAAGAACTGTCTTTTCAAATGGAAATGTTTGAAGGATCATAATAGGGTAGGACAAAACTGTTCAATAGTTTATAATCTGTCTACGCTACACTTAACGATGGAAGTGAAATTGAGTGAAGTGGGAACAATACCTACAATGGTAATGCTGGGGAAGTGTTTAACAGTGTTACTCCCCACACCTGATACAACACCTGATATGAGGATGGCTTAACCAACCATACCCTGCCCTGTTCCATTGTGTTGAGGCATGTTGGATTTGTCACAGGAAGATTTGAACATCATAGTGTGCACAGATGAGTCCCAAGTGTGTGAGCATCTAACCAGTGATGGCCAGACATGATAATGTGCTGCTCTCACCAACTTTGGTGCTTTGATGTCTTCAAATAGAGCACTAAAACTAACAAGGTCCAGGCTACCGAGGCCTAGGCTTACAAGGGCCAAAGTAAACATGTCCAAATTAACAGGGCCCGAGTAAACATGTCTGGATTAGCAAGGGCCAGAGTAAACATGTCCAGATAAGCAAGGGCCAGAGTAAACATGTCCCGATTAGCAAGGGCCAGAGTAAACGTCGATATTAGCAAGGGCCAGAGTAAACATGTCCAGATTAGCAAGGGCTTGAGTAAACATTCCAGATTAACGAGGGCCAGAGTAAACATGTCCCGATTAACAAGGGCCTGAGTAAACATGTCCAGATAAGCAAGGGCCAGAGTAAACATGTCCGGATTAACAAGGGGTAAAGTAAACATGTCCCGATTAACAAGGGCCTGAGTAAACATGTCTGGATTAGCAAGGGCCAGAGTAAACATGTCCAGATAAGCAAGGGCCAGAGTAAACATGTCCCGATTAACAAGGGCCTGAGTAAACATGTCTGGATTAGCAAGGGCCAGAGTAAACATGTCCAGATAAGCAAGGGCCAGAGTAAACATGTCCCGATTAACAAGGGCCTGAGTAAACATGTCTGGATTAGCAAGGGCCAGAGTAAACATGTCCAGATAAGCAAGGGCCAGAGTAAACATGTCCCGATTAGCAAGGGCCAGAGTAAACATGTCCCGATTAGCAAGGGCTTGAGTAAACATGTCCAGACTAACAAAGTCCTTATTTACAAGGTCCAGACTGATACAGTTCATACTTGGTTCAGTCCGGCAAGGTTCAGACTGATGAGCATCAACTGCAGGCTCTGTAATTACTTCTTGAAGCACATAAGACTTCCTTTATGTCACCAGAGACTTGGTTGTGAAATCATTAATAGTCAATAGGCAATAATTTCATATTTTTTTACATTTATGCTCTTTCAGTCTTTTTATGAGTGAATTTGCCTGCAACAGCACCATTCAGTGATGGGCACAGCCTTGGAGGCAGAGTGTAGCATCCTTCTAGCCTGACAGGCCACAATAAGCAGAGCTCCATTGCGTTGTACAATGAGAATAATAGATGTGACACTTTGCGTTAGCGGGAGTTGTAGTGTAATTAAACAAGTGGCAAAGTAGATCAGTGTGTATGGTAATCCTGTTCAGGACGTACTGCTCAAATCAACGTCTTGTACTTTATGGTAATGTGTCATGAATAGCGTATGTTGGATCACAAGTGGAATTGATTTGGATTTCAATATATTAATGAACATGTCAAGTGTGTGGAATGGTGTCAACATGTCGCTGATCACCAGACTGAGTTGGGGTCTTAATGGTACATACCCTGGCAGAATCACACCACAAGCAGAAGACATTAACTTAACCTGACATGCTGAAAGTAGGGGAGTAACATTCAGTATTCCCACATGCTGTATTATATATAGTAGGGTAGTAACATTCAGTATTCCCACATGCTGTAAGTAGGGTAGTAACATTCAGTATTCCCACATGCTGTAAGTAGGGTAGTGACATTCAGTATTCCCACATGCTGTAAGTAGGGTAGTGACATTCAGTATTCCGACATGCTGTAAGTAGGGTAGTAACATTCAGTATTCCCACATGCTGTAAGTAGGGTAGTGACATTCAGTATTCCCACATGCTGTAAGTAGGGTAGTTACATTCAGTATTCCAACATGCTGTAAGTAGGGTAGTGACATTCAGTATTCCCACATGCTGTAAGTAGGGGAGTAACATTCAGTATTCCCACATTCTGTAAGTAGGGTAGTAACATTCAGTATTCCCACATGCTGTAAGTAGGGTAGTAACATTCAGTAATCCGACATGCTGTAAGTAGGGTAGTGACATTCAGTATTCCCACATGCTGTAAGTAGGGTAGTGAGATTCAGTATTCCCACATTCTGTAAGTAGGGTAGTGACATTCAATTTTCCCACATGCTGTAAGTAGGATAGTAACATTCAGTATTCCCACATTCTGTAAGTAGGGTAGTGACATTCAGTATTCCCACATGCTGTAAGTAGGGTAGTAACATTCAGTATTCCCACATGTTGTAAGTAGGGTAGTGACATTCAGTATTCCCACATGCTGTAATTCGGGTAGTAACATTCAGTATTCCCACATGCTGTAAGTAGGGTAGTAACATTCAGTATTCCCACATGCTGTAAGTAGGGTAGTGACATTCAGTATTCCCACATGCTGTAAGTAGGGTAGTAACATTCAGTATTCCCACATGCTGTAAGTAGGGTAGTAACATTCAGTATTCCGACATGCTGTAAGTAGGGTAGTGACATTCAATTTTCCCACATGCTGTAAGTAGGATAGTAACATTCAGTATTCCCACATTCTGTAAGTAGGGTAGTGACATTCAGTATTCCCACATGCTGTAAGTAGGGTAGTAACATTCAGTATTCCCACATGTTGTAAGTAGGGTAGTGACATTCAGTATTCCCACATGTTGTAAGAAGGGTAGTAACATTCAGTATTCCCACATTCTGTAAGTAGGGTAGTAACATTCAGTATTCCGACATGCTGTAAGTAGGGTAGTGACATTCAGTATTCCCACATGCTGTAAGTAGGGTAGTAACATTCAGTATTCCCACATTCTGTAAGTAGGGTAGTGACATTCAGTATTCCAACATGCTGTAAGTAGGGTAGTGACATTCAGTATTCCCACATGCTGTAAGTAGGGGAGTAACATTCAGTATTCCCACATTCTGTAAGTAGGGTAGTAACATTCAGTATTCCCACATGCTGTAAGTAGGGTAGTGAGATTCAGTATTCCGACATGCTGTAAGTAGGGTAGTGACATTCAGTATTCCCACATGCTGTAAGTAGGGTAGTGAGATTCAGTATTCCCACATTCTGTAAGTAGGGTAGTGACATTCAATTTTCCCACATGCTGTAAGTAGGATAGTAACATTCAGTATTCCCACATTCTGTAAGTAGGGTAGTGACATTCAGTATTCCCACATGCTGTAAGTAGGGTAGTAACATTCAGTATTCCCACATGTTGTAAGTAGGGTAGTGACATTCAGTATTCCCACATGCTGTAAGTAGGGTAGTAACATTCAGTATTCCAACATGCTGTAAGTAGGGTAGTAACATTCAGTATTCCGACATGCTGTAAGTAGGGTAGTGACATTCAGTATTCCCACATGCTGTAAGTAGGGTAGTAACATTCAGTATTCCCACATGCTGTAAGTAGGGTAGTAACATTCAGTATTCCGACATGCTGTAAGTAGGGTAGTGACATTCAGTATTCCCACATGTTGTAAGTAGGGTAGTAACATTCAGTATTCCCACATTCTGTAAGTAGGGTAGTAACATTCAGTATTCCAACATGCTGTAAGTAGGGTAGTGACATTCAGTATTCCCACATGCTGTAAGTAGGGTAGTGAGATTCAGTATTCCCACATTCTGTAAGTAGGGTAGTGACATTCAATTTTCCCACATGCTGTAAGTAGGATAGTAACATTCAGTATTCCCACATTCTGTAAGTAGGGTAGTGACATTCAGTATTCCCACATGCTGTAAGTAGGGTAGTAACATTCAGTATTCCCACATGTTGTAAGTAGGGTAGTGACATTCAGTATTCCCACATGTTGTAAGAAGGGTAGTAACATTCAGTATTCCCACATTCTGTAAGTAGGGTAGTAACATTCAGTATTCCGACATGCTGTAAGTAGGGTAGTGACATTCAGTATTCCCACATGCTGTAAGTAGGGTAGTAACATTCAGTATTCCCACATTCTGTAAGTAGGGTAGTAACATTCAGTATTCCCACATGTTGTAAGTAGGATAGTAACATTCAGTATTCCCACATTCTGTAAGTAGGATAGTAACATTCAGTATTCCGACATGCTGTAAGTAGGGTAGTGACATTCAGTATTCCCACATGCTGTAATTCGGGTAGTAACATTCAGTATTCCCACATGCTGTAAGTAGGGTAGTAACATTCAGTATTCCGACATGCTGTAAGTAGGGTAGTGACATTCAGTACTCCCACATGCTGTAAGTAGGGTAGTGACATTCAGTATTCCCACATTCTGTAAGTAGGGTAGTGACATTCAGTATTCCCACATGCTGTAAGTAGGGTAGTAACATTCAGTATTCCCACATTCTGTAAGTAGGGTAGTAACATTCAGTATTCCCACATGCTGTAAGTAGGGTAGTAACATTCAGTATTCCCACATGCTGTAAGTAGGGTAGTAACATTCAGTATTCCGACATGCTGTAAGTAGGGTAGTAACATTCAGTATTCCCACATTCTGTAAGTAGGGTAGTAACATTCAGTATTCCGACATGCTGTAAGTAGGGTAGTGACATTCAGTATTCCCACATGCTGTAAGTAGGGTAGTGAGATTCAGTATTCCCACATTCTGTAAGTAGGGTAGTGACATTCAATTTTCCCACATGCTGTAAGTAGGATAGTAACATTCAGTATTCCCACATTCTGTAAGTAGGGTAGTGACATTCAGTATTCCCACATGCTGTAAGTAGGGTAGTAACATTCAGTATTCCCACATGTTGTAAGTAGGGTAGTGACATTCAGTATTCCCACATGCTGTAAGAAGGGTAGTAACATTCAGTATTCCCACATTCTGTAAGTAGGGTAGTAACATTCAGTATTCCAACATGCTGTAAGTAGGGTAGTGTCATTCAGTATTCCCACATGCTGTAAGTAGGGTAGTAACATTCAGTATTCCCACATTCTGTAAGTAGGGTAGTAACATTCAGTATTCCCCCATGTTGTAAGTAGGGTAGTAACATTCAGTATTCCCACATTCTGTAAGTAGGATAGTAACATTCAGTATTCCGACATGCTGTAAGTAGGGTAGTGACATTCAGTATTCCCACATGCTGTAAGTAGGGTAGTGACATTCAGTATTCCGACATGCTGTAAGTAGGGTAGTAACATTTAGTATTCCCACATGATGTAAGTAGGGGAGTGACATTCAGTATTCCCACATGTTGTAAGTAGGGGAGTAACATTCAGTATTCCGACATGCTGTAAGTAGGGTAGTGACATTCTGTATTCCCACATGATGTAAGTAGGGTAGTAACATTCAGTATTCCCACATGCTGTAAGTAGGGTAGTAACATTCAGTATTCCGACATGCTGTAAGTAGGGTAGTGACATTCAGTATTCCCACATGCTGTAAGTAGGGTAGTGACATTCAGTATTCCGACATGCTGTAAGTAGGGTAGTGACATTCAGTATTCCCACATGCTGTAAGTAGGGTAGTGACATTCAGTATTCCGACATGCTGTAAGTAGGGTAGTAACATTCAGTATTCCGACATGCTGTAAGTAGGGGAGTAACTATTCCCACATGTTGTAAGTAGGGTAGTAACTATTCCCACATGTTGTAAGTAGGGTAGTAACTATTCCCACATGTTGTAAGTAGGGGAGTAACTATTCCCACATGTTGTAAGTAGGGTAGTAACTATTCCCACATGTTGTAAGTAGGGGAGTAACTATTCCCACATGTTGTAAGTAGGGTAGTAACTATTCCCACATGTTGTAAGTAGGGTAGTAACCATTCCCACATGTTGTAAGTAGGGGAGTAACTATTCCCACATGTTGTAAGTAGGGGAGTAACTATTCCCACATGTTGTAAGTAGAGTAGTAACTATTCCCACATGTTGTAAGTAGAGTAGTAACTATTCCCACATGTTGTAAGTAGGGGAGTAACTATTCCCACATGTTGTAAGTAGAGTAGTAACTATTCCCACATGTTGTAAGTAGAGTAGTAACATTATTGATCCATGGTTGTAGCATTCATGGTATGAAGGCTGTAACAAATTTATTACCTGTTCTGTTCTACGGAGGTACAGAAGTCTAAGTGCGTCAGGCCAAATACTGTTACTATAGGAATAAGAGAGAATGTTATGTTTAGGTGAACTAGGATTATATATATGCTATTTATCACCTGCAGTATGATACTTTATTTTATACACAATGTATCTGATATAATGGGTTTGTCTGGTCCAGACTAGAATATTTACAGACAACGGTCATATGGCTAGACTTGCTGAATGTGTTGTTAAACAACAAACAAGCAAATAATACAGCATGTTATTTTTTCAGAAAATGGTGTATGAGGCCACAACAAAGATTCTCATCCCAAACGTGGTCACAGGCTACAACGCTACAGTGTTTGCATACGGGGCAACAGGTAGGTAGCTGCTACTTTGGCAATGGCTGAAGTTGGAGGTAAATATACTGTCAAAGTACTTTCAATCAGGGATCCAGAAATATTTTTTTGCAAATTGAACATTTAAATTTTGGTCACGCCCACCTCATATCTGAGGTGCTGGATGTATGAACAAAAAGAATAAACTCAAGTCTCATTTTCATAACATATATAGTGCTCCCTCGCTATTGTGCCCTTCATTACCTCGGTATAGCACGCGGTAACAATTGGCTCCCAAATTTTACTTACATTTTTAAAAAACTCAATGTTTATACTGATACAATGTTTTTCCCCATCTCAAAAAAACATTGCCGCAAGCACGTAACACCGGAAATACCAGTCAGCAAATCCAAACTGAAATATGAAATCCCATTATCATGCTTATTTTACTATCTGGTCATAAAATTTTGTTCATTGTATATCTGGACTTATGTTTCGAATATATTTTATCAGTTTATTTTAAAATTTCATTCAATAATGTTTACATTAATTTTGGTGAAATCATATGAGAGGTGATCGGTAGATCGCACAACTCACAGTTATTTACAGCAACCACAGTCAGATTACTGCTATTGATGCCTTGAAACGAACTTTAATTGAAAGAGAATGGATACATATATCATAAATGCCATACTTTGACTCATTATAAGTCATATTTGCGGCAGTTTGACTATTAAATGTTAACATAACAACATACGATATTGGAATATATTATTCCTGATAAAATAATAATTTCAAATACAATTTCTTCCGACCTTTGCATCAAAATTCTTTGAAGTTGTATCATTGGGTACTTTTTAACTGAATCACTGGTAGATTGTTGCGAGAACATGTGCACAGCTGATTGATATTTCCGGCTTCGTTTACGAGAAAATACACACCGTAATCTTCATGTCTGCATATAAAACAATGCCTTGGAGAGCAGGAAATACAATTTAAATGGTAAAACATCATGTTTAGCAAAGTTTTATAACATATTTACCTGTTTGTTCACCTGAATTTGCTGAACGGATAATTCTACGACATGTTTTATGGCGTACAACACTTGATAGATAAATAGATCTAACATACCGGTATACTATTTCAACCTCTCGGGATGTAGGTCAGTGTGCCTGTGGTGATTGATGTTGACTGAATTGTAAAATGTCCGGTTTGCACTATAGCTATCTCAAATCAGACATTTTGCAGTCACAATCGGACAAGTCCGGCACACAGACCGATTTCCGGATCCCTGCTTTCAATGTAGAGCAAGGTTACCTGTAGATTTAACCACATTAAATAGAATATGGAACATGCAGCGTGACGATTTCAAATCTTAAATTGTTGCATATAATTGTACGTATAATTATTTAAATATGCCTATACTGACAATGCCTGTTAAAGAAGTACTATTCCGAAAATATTAGCTTCCGCGGTGATGGGGCCATCAAATCGGCTGTTTCAATCAGAGGGGGTTTATTGTGATTTGATACCATTGATTGACCAATCAAAATCGTGTATTAACCAAATTCATGGTAGAATAACAGTTCAGTTACAATTATTGGAGTAAATGTTTATTAAACCTTTGTCTTTAGTGTGATCAGTAGCAACCACTGGGCTTCCCCACTCCCTACACTGACTGAGAAATACAGACTGTTGATGTTGCTATGTAGGATATGGTAGTGATGTTGCATGTGTTGCAGGTGCTGGGAAGACGCACACTATGTTGGGAACAGACAAGGAGCCGGGCATCATGGTCCTCACCCTGAATGACCTCTTCCAGGAGATGGAGAAGACGAGCAACAATATGGCCTACAAAGTATCCATGTCCTATCTTGAGGTATTGTTGATGTTGATGCCTCCTAATAGCAAACTCTGTTTTCCAGAAATAATTCCTGGTACTGTTAAATACATTCCACACCCCATTACTCCAGAAACCTTGACTTCCGGACAATTACCATTTCAGATTGTTCATATATGAGTAATAGCTGATAATTATGTATCAGTGGTTTATTAATTTAGTAATAACAACATTATAACATAGAAAGTTCAGGTGGTTCTAATATAGGTAAGCAGTGGTTGTAGTAACATGAGTCTGTTGAATGTCTTTGTTCTAGATCTACAACGAGATGATCCGCGACCTCCTTAATCCCTCATCAGGCATCCTCGACCTTCGAGAAGACTCCCGGGGTCAAGTTCAGGTTGCAGGTTTATCAGAGGTCACTGCAAGGTCTACAGATGAGGTCAGTTGAACTCTGTTACCAGAGTTAGTCAATTTATTGTAATTTGCACGCTGATGAATATTAACGTTTTAAAGAGTATAAAGAGACTTGTCTTGTTAATGGAGATAATGAGTGATGGCAAAGAGAAAGGCATAACCAAACTTTAATATCAATAAAATGCTTGTGTTCAATCTTGTAGCTGGTGTGACATCTAAGACTGTAAGAGTTATTCCCCTTTCATACATAGACAGTTTATATCTAATGCATCAGGAGTGTCCATGTATATGTGTGTGTGTGTGCGTGTTCATGTTCATGTGTGTGTGTGCGTGAGCGTGTGCGTGTGTGTGTGTGTGTGTGTGTGTGTGTGAACACAGAGATAATCTTTTCAAGGATTTATCGGAGCAACATACACAAAATCAATGTGAATTTCAAGAGGTCCTATATGTGTGGACTAATCCCTTAAGGCTAAATGTTTTATTTTCAGCTATTTTCACTTAGTTTGTTTGTTTGTTGTTTAACACCTCACTCAGCAATATAGCAGCTACATGACGGCGGTCTGTAAATAATCGAGTCTGGACCAGATAATCCAGTGACTGACATCATGAATGTTGATCTACGCACTTGAGATACGATGACATGCATTGATCAACAAATTCAGTGAGCTTGACCACCTGATCCCGTTTGTTGCCTCTTACGACAAGCAATGTCGCCTTTTACAGCAAGTATGGGTTGCTGAAGGCCTATTCTACCCTGGATGTTCACGTGTGTCACTTGGTTCACACTTGATGATTTCGTTTGTTTGTTTGTTGTTTAATGCCGTACTCAGCAATATTCCAGCTATATAACGGCGGTCTGTAAATAATCGAGTCTGGACCAGACAATCCAGTGATTGACAACATGAACATTGATCCACGCAATTGGGATCGATGACATGCATCAACCAAGTCAGCAAGCCTGACCACCCGATCTCGTTAGTTGCCTCCTACGACAACTATAGTCACCTTTTACCACAAGCATGGGTTGCTGAAGACCTATTCTACCCGGGATATTCACGGGCCACACACATGATGAGTAGGAGTAAGTTTGAGGGCACAGGTGTGTTAAGGTGCTAGCTAGGCTTCCCTTGATGAAGCCCTAGTGATCGGCAGCCCCTGTTTGTTGTAAGTCTGTGAATCCTACAGACAATTGTTGGATTTGTCAGGTGATCCAGATGTTGATGAAGGGCAATCAGGAGCGTACCCAGGAGCCCACCGCAGCCAACAAGACTTCGTCGCGGTCCCATGCAGTGCTGCAGGTCATCGTGAAGCAGCGCAACCGCGTCCGCAACACCATGCAGGAAGTACGCACGGGGAAACTGTTCCTCATCGATCTGGCAGGGTCAGAACGTGCAGCAAACACACACAACCGTGGCAAGAGGATGGTGGAGGGGGCTCACATAAACAGATCCCTCCTTGCCCTGGGCAACTGTATCAACGCTCTTAGTAAGTCACAGACAGACATAGTGTGGAGGGGGCTGACATAGACAGATCCCTCCTTGCCCTGGGTAACTGTATCAACACTCTTAGTAAGTCACAGACAGACATAGGGTGGAGGGGGCTCACATAAACAGATCCCTCCTTGTCCTGGGCAACTGTATCAACACTCTTAGTAAGTCACAGACAGACATAGTGTGGAGGGGGCTCACATAAACAGATCCCTCCTTGCCCTGGGCAACTGTATCAACACTCTTAGTAAGTCACAGACAGACATAGGGTGGAGGGGGCTCACATAAACAGATCCCTCCTTGCCCTGGGCAACTGTATCAACACTCTTAGTAAGTCACAGACAGACATAGTGTGGAGGGGGCTGACAGACAGATCCCTCCTTGTCCTGGGTAACTGTATCAACGCTCTTAGTAAGTCACAGATAGACATAGGGTGGAGGGGGCTCACATAAACAGATCCCTCCTTGCCCTGGGCAACTGTATCAACGCTCTTAGTAAGTCACAGATAGACATAGGGTGGAGGGGGCTCACATAAACAGATCCCTCCTTGCCCTGGGCAACTGTATCAACACTCTTAGTAAGTCACAGACAGACATAGTGTGGAGGGGGCTGACAGACAGATCCCTCCTTGCCCTGGGCAACTGTATCAACACTCTTAGTAAGTCACAGACAGCTATGGGGTGAAGGGGGCTGACATAAACAGATCCCTCCTTGCCCTGGGCAACTGTATCAACGCTCTTAGTAAGTCACAGACAGACATAGTGTGGAGGGGGCTGACAGACAGATCCCTCCTTGCCCTGGGCAACTGTATCAACGCTCTTAGTAAGTCACAGACAGCTATGGGGTGAAGGGGGCTGACATAAACAGATCCCTCCTTGCCCTGGGCAACTGTATCAACGCTCTTAGTAAGTCACAGACAGACATAGGGTGGAGGGGGCTGACATAGACAGATCCCTCCTTGTCCTGGGCAACTGTATCAACGCTCTTAGTAAGTCATAGACAGGCATAGGATGGAACGGGCTGACAGACAGATCCCTCCTTGCCCTGGGCAACTGTATCAACGCTCTTAGTAAGTCACAGACAGACATAGTGTGGAGGGGGCTGACAGACAGATCCCTCCTTGTCCTGGGCAACTGTATCAACACTCTCAGTAAGTCACAGACAGGACACGCATTTGTAAGCAAGGATTATATCCTACCTAAAGATTATCCCTGGAGGAGTTTTACTCTAGAGTATAGTATAGGATAGGATTAAACACACTGGTATTGCTTCAAATTCACTAGGGAGAATCATCCTGACACTAGAGAATTTCATTCCCGGTATACAAAATAGGGTAGGATAATATTCACTCTAACACATACGCTACTCGTTTATCATGTTTATATGTTATGTGTTTTGAGTTACTATTGGTAAGATTGAACTAAAGTTAACAATAACTTTTGTACTCATATAATAATTCAAATTTAATTGATGTTATGTTAAGCATGTTTGATTAATGGTATTTATGTATTTTTTGGCGTTCGTGTTTGAGATCATTTACCAGTGAGTAGGATGTTTATCTACCATATCAGGAGATTATTATACTCCGCAGGTGACAAGAATGGCCCAAAGTACATCAACTACCGAGACAGTAAGTTGACCCGCCTCCTGAAGGATGCCCTTGGCGGCAACTGCAAGACCGTCATGATCGCACACATCAGCCCGGCCAGCCTGCACTTTGAGGAGTCACGCAACACACTAGTGTATGCAGACAGAGCCAAACACATCAAAACAAAGGTAGAAACACTCCCAAACTGTTCGCTCATTCAGGATTGTTGCTTATCTATATGTATGCCAATCAAAGAAAAAAGCAGAAATTCTGCAACAATCTCCATCCTTCTGCTATGCAAAAGTTACTTTCAACTCCATTGATTGAGATCACCCACCATCCCTTGCACAAGATATTAAAATTATGTCAGAGTACCAATGAGTTACATGTGATATCAAGCTGCTGTGGTTTCTGTGTGCAGGTGCGGCGCAATGTGACCGATGTAGCGTACCACATAGCCCAGTACACTAACATCATCTCGGAGCTGCGTGATGAGATTCTCAAACTGCGGAGCCGCCTACAGGACCAGGGCACTGGCAGTCGCACCCACGCCAACATCCAGGCCGTGCAATGTGAGTACAGTGCTCCCTCGCTATTACGCTCTTCAATATAGCGCTAACTTGGTTATAGGGAACGGTGAAGCAAGGCTCCCAAAACCTTACTTATTTTTAATAAACTCAAGTTTTCAAATGATACAAAGTTTTCCCCATCTAAAAAAACATTAACGGTTGATCACCATGATCACGTAACACTGGAAATATACCAGTTAACAAATTCAAACTGAAGTACGCAATTTAATCCCATTATTATACTATCTGCTTATAAAAAGGTGTTCATTGTTTATCAAAATTTCATTCAATAATGTTTCCATTAATTTCGGCTTAATTGTATGTGAAGTGATCGGTAGATCGCACAACTCACCGTTGTTTACAGCAACCACATTCAGATTACCGCTATTGACGCCTTGAAAGAGGATGGATACATATATCATAAATGCCATACTTTGACTCGTTAAAAGTCAAATTTGCGGCTGTTTAACTATTAAATGTCAACATAATGTTTCCGAAATGGAAATACATGTAGCGCGGGAAGTCCCTACTGTGACTGGTCTAATTGTTCCATGCATAAAAATATCCGGCAATAGCAATCACCTGAACCAAAGAGCTGCGCTAAAGGTTCTTATAATTTTAAATATATATAGTGAAAGCTGTAACTAAAATAACACAATATGGGAATATATTATCCCCGATAAAATAATAATTTCAGATACAATTTCTTCTGACCATTGCATTAAAATTCTTTGAAGTTGTATCATTAGGTACTTTTTAACTGAATCACTGGTAGATGCGAGAGAAACGTGTGCACAGCTAATTGCTATTTCCGGCTTAGTTCACGAGAAAATACACACGGTAATCTTAATCTCTGCATATAAAACAATGCCTTGGAGAGCAGGAAATACATTTTAAATTGTAAATCATCATGTCTATTGATGTTTTATATCAAACTTCATATTTTTATTGACCAAGTTTGTTATACCTATTCATTCACCATAATTCACTGAAGGGATACGAAGTGTGTTTTTTTTTAAAGCACATAACGCTCGATAAATCATTTTTTACACTATGAATCATAAACAACTACTTTTTTTAAACTCTGAAACATAACGTAGATGGTGTTAGGTAGGCAGAGCATGTATACTGTTTTGTTGGTCATCTACCACCTACGACTCCACCTCGGTTAAACCGTTGATCGTCTATAACGCTCATCAATTATTTGGGCCCCAAATTTAGCAATGTAGCGAGGGATCACTGATTTAGTTTGCACCACTGCACCACTGGTCAAGAAAGGCTAACTTCCACCTTTATTCAAAGGGACATAACTCTATATATCCATTAATCCTGAACTATGGTGCACAGTTTCACTGGTAAAGGTTACTGTCTGAATTAACATGGTGCTCTGGTTAGAAGTTTAGGATGATGGTATTATGATAACCCAGCCTAAAAAATCATAGTTATAGGACATTTTATGTGTGCGACCTATAACTTGAAAACTACTTCATAGATTCTGTTCAAACTTGATAAACACTTTCTATACCAATAGGAGAGGTGCAGTGCAAAGTTTGATTTCAATATTTGGATTTTCTGAAAAATAGCGCTATTTTTCATTTTTTAACTTAGAATTTATTAGAATTTGTGCAACATTTAACTTGAAAACTAATGCATGGATTCTTTTCAAATTCAGGGAACAGTTTCCATACTAATAGAAGAAGTGCAGTGATTTTGATATGTGAAAATATGAATTGTTACATATTTTGAACATAGAATGTTTTTTTTCACCTCAACATTTGTGCAACCTCTAACTTTAGAACTACTTCATAGATTTTTTCAAATTTAAGGAACATTTTCTATACTAATAGGAGAGGTTCGGTGCAAAGTTGATTTTAATATGTATATTTTCTGAAAAAATCAGATTTCTTTTTCATGTTTTGAACTTTTAATCAATATTTTTAATCAATGTCAAGTCAGTGTCAAGTCAAGTGTACTGTATCCTGCAAAACTTGCTGGTGATGCTCTAGTGCTTATTTGAATCATGCCTTTACTATGTTGTATTATTGTGCTTTTTAAGAGAAACCGGTTCAAATGTTAAGGCTTCAATATATCTCCAATATCAAAATTGTTCTTCAGCTGATGTTAGAGTCGAAGTCAGGGTATTAGTGAGGCCTGCTCAACTTTGCCTTGTTTTGACTGTCCTGTTGGTTTCTCTCTCTCTCTCTTTCTCTCTCGTATAAACGTAATATTGTGTCATTTCTGCTTATGAACATCAGTTTTGCTATCATGTGACTGGCCTTTCATCCAGTGTATATCATGTTAACTTTACATTATGATAAAATTATTATATGATAACTATATAATATATGTCTTCATTCCACAGCGGAGGTACTAGAGGCCCGTCGCCATGCTGACCGAGATGAGATGACCAAGCTGCGAGAACAACTGCTCACTTGCTTCAAGGACCAGATGGAACTCAGGTTTGAGGATACATACAATTAGTAGAGATTGTTAACTGAGTGTGCTTCTGCATCAGAAATATCATATAGTAGGAATAAACATTGTATTATGTGATGTCATTTACATTTGTGAAACCCTTCAGAAACCCTTGAAAGTAGAGGGGTAACTCAGCAGTGCAGGGTGGAACTTTTCACACAAATGACCCCGTTGGTAGAATAGGCTCCCAGGATCAATCATTGTTGTTCACACTGACATAGGCAGTATATGACCATGTTGGCCCTCTTCCACAAGTCTATCATAGTGCAAAGACAGTCGTAAGCCTATGTTACAGTATGGGAGTTACGATCACCTTAGCGCTACGATAGCTTTGTGAAATGGACCCCTGATCTGTTACCTGGTTCATCTTGCATGGTTTGTCTGGTCCAGACTTGACTACTGACCATGCTGACATCCATGCAAGATAGAGCTGTAATTTGACTACAGAATCACCTTCAGTCACTCAGTTTTCAATTTCCCTCATAGATTCTGACAGTTTGTCACATTCCATAATTAGGATGCTGTGAGGATGGAGCAAATGGACTCTCAAGTTTCTGTTTAGACAGTTCAATAATTAGGCTATTGAGCCTGTAGGGTTCTGTGAGAGCTGAATGTCCACACTGTGTTGCAGGAAGACGCTGATGGAGCTGAACAATGCCTCCATGGAGATCAGCCTGGAGACCAACAGGAACCAGCTCGTCATCAGCGAGTCAGTAGACATGTTAACGTCGCTTAGGTTCATCAGTCATAGCACACCTGGTCATCAGAAAAGCATTACATCACTTTATATTCTCCAACTACAGTACACCTGATAATCAAAATTATTCAGTTTAAAGAAGAGTTCAGTCATGTATAAAATATTAAGTTCCATGTTTTAGTAATAAGTCCATGGGGGGAAATGAGGATGTGTATTTAAAACAACATGACCTGTTCACGATGTCATCATACAGCTGAACTATTAATGATATGACTCAAGATTGTAACACACGCTCCGACTTCTGTTGCAGGTGGGATGTTGAGAAGGCGCGAGGCTCCAAGCGAGAGGATGGTGACAGTACAGACAACAAGTATAAAGGTACCTGTAACTTCTGTACAGTAGTTACTGAATCTGCGCCCTACGTGTTCCATCGCGATATCTGACTATTGTGAGTATGTTCTGGATGCAGCATCTCAGCCTAACCTGACTGTGTTTCCAGATGAGCGAGACAGCAAGGGCAACATCATACAGCCAGATGAAGTCCGCGTGGCTCGGGACGAGCTGAAGGTGCTGCATGATGAGAAACACAAGACAGAACGTGTGCGATCAACAGTCAGGCGGGAGTTGGAGACGGCCAAACACAAGATGAAGAAATTGGAGGAGGTACGTGGGTTTCAGAAGTGTTGTTTTATTAGAGACATCACATCCCGCTTGGGCAGTTGCTTATTACATTTACTGTTATTCCAAAGCCCAGAGATTTGTTTCCTCGTGAAATGAAAATGTCTACTTATTTAAGTTTTATTTACATTGTGTCTGACCTCAGCACTCAAAGCCAACCTGCGTGAAAAGTTGAACGTGTACTGCTACTTTCAGACCATTAGGTCTTTGATCAGACTTTAATTGATATGATAGTGACAGTGTTACACCGTAGTGAAAAACTATAGTTATGGCTCAGGAACACAGATGTTAGCCCAGCACCCTACCACAGTTCTCCTACAGTGACCTGACTCAATGTGTTCCACACTCTGGACAGTCTCTGTTATGTCACGACATGTAAGTTTGATGTTGGAGGAAAGCCCCATGTGATGCAGGCCTTGGGCTAAAAAAAAAAATAGTCTTTGTTCTCAGGCACCACCCTCATCATCATAAAGTCCACTGCACGTTTTGTTTTTATTTCCATTTTCCCCTAAAAAAAGTCCTCAAAAATTCCTCGTTTCAAACACGCGACACCAGCAGTGAAATGCTACAATATTTAAACACAATGCGATCCAAAATACCGTATATCACCGTCTATAAAGCGATCCTGCGTATAAGGCGACCCCCATGTACAAGCCTTCAAAATCAATGCTAATTTATATACCCCGTCTATAAATTGAATGGTAATGAAGCATGTCACCAGCACATCCCCACAATCCCCACATTTGCAATAAAAACTTGTTTGTCTTCCGCGGAAAAAAATCACATTGTATCCTTTCAGCGATTTCAGGGAAACAAACAGATCATAACAATTAAACTTGGTCAATACAAATTTCAAATTTGAGATAGAACATCACTTGACATGATGATTTACCAATTCAATTTTCTGTTCTGATGGGGATTATATGCAGAGATTAAGATTACCATGTGTATTGTCTCGTAAACTAAGCCGGAAGCAACAATCAACTGTGCACACGTTTCACGGAATCTACCGGTGATTCAGTTTATAATTACCTAATAATATAACTTTAAAGAATTTTGATACAATGACAGTATGAATTGTATCTGAAACTATTATTTTATCAGGAATAATTTATTCCAATATCATATTATTTTAGTTGCAGCTCCACTATATACACTTGAACTAAATTAATAACCATAAGCATAGCACTTTGGTACAGCTGATCGCTCTTGCTTGATATTTTTTCGTATGGAACAATTTGACCAATCACCGTCGATGCTCCCGCGCTCGCAATTGCGAAAACTTTATGTTGACTTAGAATTTTCAAACTACAACAAATATGACTTTCAGCAAGTCAATGTATGGCATTTATGATATATGTATCCATTCTCTATCCACTAAAGTTCGTTGCAAGGCATCAATAGTGGTAAACCATGGTTGCTGTAAATAACAGTGAGTTTTGTGATGTTCTGATCACTTCACCTATGATTTTGCCGAAACTAAGGTAAACAATATTGAATGAAATTTTGAATAAAATTAATCAAATAGGTGACAAACATAAGTCCAAAGATAAAATGAACAATGTTTGTAACCATGCATTGTAAATGCTCACAGTTCTCACAGTTATGTCTTTGTGTCGGTGATAAAAACCCAAAGACTCTTCAACCCTGTGTACAAGATGACCCCCCTTGAAAGCCCCCTAATTCTAGGTACGAAAAACTCACCTTATACACAGAGATATACGGTAGCATAAAGTAACTTCCCTTTACAAGCCCACTGCTTTACTGCGCATCTTGTCTTATGGTCATGGCTGCAATAGGAGTGTGCTTGTTTTAACATTTGCAAATTTGGTCAATGATAGCATGAAATTTACGATCAAAACTTCACTAGACATGATGATTTACAAATTCAATGGTATTTGTGTACTGTTTGCCAGACAATGTTTCATATGCGCAGAGATCAAGATTACATGTGTGTTTGTCTCATAAAATAACCAGGGAAATAGCAATCAGCTGTTCACACATTTCTCCCCTATCTATGGGTCATTCAGTTTAAAAAATACTTAATGTCATGGCCAGTATCATAACTGAAAGAGAGACTTCAATACAGTGATAGGAAGACAGAAGACTTGGTATCTCTAATGACTTTTCTTTGAAGGCAAGTTCATGGTGAGTTGATGTGATTTGCCGATCTCTTCATACACAATTTCGCTGAAATTAATGTAAACAAAAATGAATTAAATCTTGGATAAAGTATTATCATGGATAAGAAACATAAATCCAGATAGATATACAGTGAACACTTTTATCGTCAGATAATGTAATAACAGGACTAACTTGCATACTTCTGTACAAATTTGTTGACATGCTTCTTCCAATGTTGTGTGCTTATGATAACGTCTTCACGTTGTGAAATAAAATCATTGCTCATTGTATGCGTGTATTATGTGCACACTGGTAGTCCAACGGTAGTCAAATACTGTATTCCAGTATTTTACTCAACAAGGAATACATTTATGTAAGAAGGCCCTTTCACAGGTTGATTGTACAGAACTGTTTTTGGTTACATACTAGTTTGAACAACAACCAAAAAAAACCACCACCTGCCAGCACTATATTTTCAAAAGCCATCGCCTGAGGACCAGTTCTCGTAGTTTCTTAAGCCTAAGTTACCATGCCTTTTGTTTACCTTTTTGGTGAAACCCACATGGTATGTGCACAGTATGGTGCTGAAAAGTATAGAAAAGTATAGAAACAGAATCAAGGTGAATCCACAGCACTCTTGCTAAGCTGCATCACTGTGTTCCAGATCATCCCTCAGCGTATTGGGGACGACGACCAGCAGGAGACCCTGCAGTTGCTGTGTAAGGTCCATGAGTTGGAGATTGAGAACCTGGAGGTGAAGTCAGCCTGCCTCCTGAGGGACTTCACCATCAAAAAGAAGGACATGATCATCACCCGCTTCAGACACCACCGCAACCTGTGTGACGAAATCATTAAGCAGCAGAGACAACTCATCACAGGTGTGTAGAGAGGAAGTTTATAATGACAGGTTAACGTTGTGTATTCATGTAAAGGTTTTATTGATTTGCTCACGAGTACCACAACACAAGAAATACCTATAGACAAAGGTATCGCTGAAGTGAAGTGCATCTGGAAGTGAAATCTTGTACAGTTATTCCCTTTCCAAATCTTCGCACCATCCGAATTGTTCATTTTTTAGTTTAAGTAGATCTCCCTTGTGGTCCGCTTCAACATATGCCATCTGGCGTGAGAGAGTCTGTTACCTGCGTATTTACCTGTGAATGTCCCCATCCCTCCTCCACAGATCACAAGGTCCCCTGCCCCAAGGAGCTGGAGGATCTCTACCACCTGTACACTGTGGAGAAGGAGGACAAGGTGCTGTATGGGGACGACTCAGACACACCCAAGGTAGGACACTACACTTATTCTTGGTACAGATTTTACCAACCAGAGTGAACCCTTCCATTTTTTGAATGATTAGAACAAAATCTATGATAAACTTAACCTAACAAAAGCAATTGAAATTTCTTGGCATAATACTTAATCAAATTCATTTTGTATATGGGTTCTAACCTATGCAAATACCTAAGAGAACAAAGCCTTCTGTTTGAAGCTAACGCAGACACATTTTTCCCACTAAACATGGTTTGGGGAGGCAATGGACGACAGTTCATGCTGAAGGGCGTTTTGTCCGTGCACATGACGTGAGCTGTGTTGGAATCCTCTGTGTGGAAGAAGACATTTTATTCATAGATGGAAGGAGAGGGGAGTGAAACATTTGATTTATCAATATGCATTCATGGTAATTATTGTTCCTCTGTCTTCAGTGAAACCCTTGATATAAACATGCATTCATAGTATATGTTGCTCCTCTTACTTCAGCCACTGTCAACAGGAACAAGACAAGTCAGCAGTCTCACAGATATTGGCGGGTAGGTTGTCAAATCATTTCAGGGTTATTCTCAAAGTACCACAAACAAATTCTGTATGGTAGAAAGCTTTTGTTAAAATGTTCCATATGCACTGTTTGCAGAAGGCAGACATTGGATGAGTCTATTTTAAGAGACCGCCTCTGTGGTCAAGTGGTAGTGTGTCTGCCTGGAGACCGGAAGGTCCAGGGTTCGATCCCCTCTGTGTCATACCAAAAGAAGTTAAAAGATGGTACTTGTTGTTACCCTGCCTGTGGCACTCAGCATCAAAGGGCTAAAACAAGGAATGGTCGGTTCAGAGTCAGTCTACTGTGTCTGAGTGGGCTAGCACTATAAAATTTGCATTAGTCCAGACCAATACAAGCAGCCAGACACACAGACACGTGCATGCACATCGCTATGTAAGTGTAATAATCTTGGACACAAAGTTAAACCCCATTTCACCTCATCTTATCTGCTTTAAGAAATGCTAATGCCTTGTACACTGTTGAGTGAAGTATTCACTCATTCACTCACTTCTACCTGATTGTAGCCATGATGATGACAAGTTCTTCACACCAAGTGCCAAGGCCAAGCATCTTCAAGGTCTCAGCCAGATCTGGACAGGAAGTCAGTACATGGAGAATCTCAACAGTAGCAGCGCCATCTATCATCCCGTCACAGCATCGCGACAGTCATTTGATGATAAAGAAGTTATCCAGAGCAATACTCGCAACATTGCAGCACTAGCAGCTAAAAAGAGGACCAAGGCTCATCACGATCACCTAAATGCCGAGAGACAAGGTCATGGGTCACGACCTCTGTACCGACCCAGTCATGATAGTGATGCAGGGGCCTTAACTCCAAGTCGCCTGGCAAAACATAACAGGACATACGGTGATGGGATGACCCATACGAGTACGCCACCTAGTGATGATAACATCTCGTCAGTGACTGTGGAGAAACTCAGTATACATACAGACATTTCCCTGCCTGTTATATCGGCATCGGAGGAGCGGTATCGAGGGGGAGTCAGAAAGGTGTCACGGAATGAAGCGGATCAGAGGAGGAAGAAGCGAGGACGCAACTTTGATGTTGTTAGCAGTTATTCACAACAGGTAGAGAGCCAGTTTCCAGATCTGTGTCAGCGGTAGATCTCAATATATTATTGTATCTCTTAATAAGTACCTGTCTTTCACCTTTTTGCAGGTTTGAATTTTATGTTTGCCGAATATATTCCATTACACATCAATAGATCTTGAACTGTGAATGTTCCAAAATTTCAACTTTCCTACTTGTTCATAAATCCCAATTTGTCAGAAATTCTTCGTTCGCAAACAAACAACCATATAGCCATCAGGTTATTCACATTATTTAAAGGTAAATTGAAAATCTCAACATGCTCAAACTCATCTGTCCCATGTGCAAGTGAGCGGTATATGATATCTTTGGGCAGTGTTATGATAACCAGGACACCTGCCAACTGCATGTATAATTAAATACATGAGCACACTCTCTTCTGATAAAATCCCAACATGCATATTATGTGCAAGGGAATGAACATCTAAATGAAGATAGTGTTACATCATTTTTCAGCTTATCATTGCTTCTGCTATTTCAAATTTGCAGCGTCTCAATTCTAAGAAGACAACAGCTACAAACAGTAACAAGTACATTGGCCGCAGCAAAGGTGAGATAACTCTGTCTGTACTAGCAATGCCTATTCCCCAAATGACAATTACTGACTACAATAGTGCCTGTGTTGTGTCAGAAAATATTTTCTACAAAAGTATGTATTACAAAATGTGTTCAAGAAATTGTGAGAGACGTTAGATGATATATTATGCAGGGTTTTACATGATGCAGAAATGTGTGTCCAGTGAACACAAATGTATAGAATGGATGCAGAAACAGATATCTATTGCATCCTGAGAGACGCACAATATCATTATTTATTGTACCAAATTCTTGACCAGAAATATGAAGTTTCCTTTACAAAAGTAATTATTAAAACTTACTGTACACTACACTATTTCATTACTTTACAGGACCCTCATGTTTTCTTTAAGGTACCCTTGAAATTAGTAATTGGACCCTCTCTGGAACCCTCGTTAAGTAAGTCAAGGTAAAACCCTGTATTATGTGTCTTGTAATTTTTAACCATGAAAACATATATTTGTGAGAGTACCTTGTCACTTAATCTGTATACAATCTATAATTCCTATTTCTGTTGCAGGCTCTGACTCCTCTGCTGTCAGCACACCTCAGCAACAGCCTCGGCGAGACCGCAAGGCTCTACCCACAATTCCTGGCTCCTACAGGAAGGAGACAATCCATGTTACAGGGTTTCACTTGCCACGGTGAACAGGCGTAACCTTCACCCTTGTGGACACAGGTCAGGGAAGGATGCCTGTTGACCTTACATGACCATGACCTTGATTTAAGTGTGGCTTGAAGATGATGTCATTACAAATAAGAAGGCCAATATCGTTAAAACGTAAGACAAGTGAATTAATTGTTGCAATTAATTCTTTTATGTCCATACATGCTATCTTGCATAATTTGTATTCTTTTATCAGACCCAGAGTTGTTTGGGGAAATCATGGACTGTTTGCTCTTTATGGAAAGAATTGTTTAGTGGGCAATGAAATTATAACACATTTTGTTGAATTGGTGTTCAGTTCCTGTTAGGGTAAGAAGGCACCAGGATTAACTTTTCTCTGAATTCATAATACCAAAGACAGGTAAAGATTATTTTGGTCTCTGTTGATAAATGATTAATTACATTCAATAGGAAAGGACTATGAATGTAAGTAGACAAGATACATGTAGAGATTTTGGAATATTTATAACAGTAACTGAAGATAAACCAATTTCTCACAAGAGTGTACGAGGGCCCGACTCTGGTCAGGTTACTGTTGATATTAAGAGCCTGAGCAGATATCTGTGAGAGGGGCTCTCAGTGACAGTTTCTGCTCTGTCATAATACCAAAGCTTTCGCCAGCAAGATCTTGATGACTCCTGTGCCTTCTGTCTGCTTTTCAGACCCAAATACTGATGCTGTTCAGACATGATACTGTAGGTATTCAGACATAATGCTTACAATGTTCAGACAAAATATGTGAAGATATACAGTGGGTGGGGTGGGATGTGGGATTACAATGGACTCATCAATTGAAGAGTCTTGTGTTAAACATTGGAGCTGAACATGTTGACAACAAGTGCTGTATTTAATGGTATTTATTTATTTATCCTCATATTCTTGTGTTCCTTTGCTGAGACTTGTATTGACCAGCATACACAATGCAGGTATTCCTCTGTACATCTTAACCTCTTTCTCAGGATCTGTTGTATAAATATATATACTTCTTGTTTATGTTGATAGTGATACCACTTTTATGACTATTTGTGCTAAATATAAAGTGACAGTAAGGAATGTTAACTGTCTTACCTACTTATGGCATATATATATGAAGCTATATAATGAAGCTGTTTCTTCTCTGCCATTGGAAACAATCATTGACATAAATGTTCAGACTTGTCTTTGTTGAACAAACTGCATGCCTAGAGCAGCACATCTACCCGTTGCAAGCCTGATCAAGAACCTTGTTTGCACTAATGAAAACATACCTCTCTAAATATACAATACTAAAACAACATGTAAATTTATGTCTATTTAGTGTTGCTATAATGTTATTCTGTACATGAACAAACCACCTTGTTTACAAATAAATGTTGACACATTCATTTACTTTAAGTTTTCCGCCGTGTTAGTGCTTGGGAGGGATGCTGTATTGGTGTTCTGGCAATTGCTCTGCTGTTGATATTGAATGTATTACTGAGATATGTCAGAGGTCCGTCCATTACTATCTCTAACATCACTTCAGCAGGATGCAGCTACACCAAATGAATTACATGTTCTTGATGTTTCTGTTGAGCTCTCTGAACACTGGTAAAGTCAAATGACAAGTTCCTTTCTTGGGATTATTACAAAGTCACATTATCTAATGTAGAATGTAAATCATAACCTGACTAGTTTCTGAAAAGCATCTCTCATGAATCAATCTAATTGTTTAAATCAGAATAGCATATTTTGTTGGCCATTTGTTTTTTGGATAAGCAATGATTCGCTCCAATTCTTTGAGCAAGTAATCAATTTGGTGTGGCCTATTCACTTCAGAGGTGATATCATACACTTTTGTGTAAATTTTGATTCGATATCACCACATGTTGCACAAATCAACTTTCATTTATGTATTAACTGATATTCATCAGAAACACGTTGCTGGATTATTTTTCTGTATTTCCACGCTATCTTGTGTTTGACCGTGGCTGATGCACAATGCTGTTTGTCATCTACTCACTCATTGTGTGAAAGGCAGCTCTGTTTTACAATAATTCTTCAATATTTATCATATTTATCATCAGAAGGCTTGTTAATCAACAGAAGAAGGTTAGTTTTTAAGCATCTAATCACAAATTTGAATTATGACCATCTTTTCATTCACCTTCATCTATGAACTGACTGATACACTTTGATTTTACTTTAGAGGTAGAGTTGTGTCAAGAAATAAACATTTGATATGATCTGTTATTATTGAAGAAATGTTGAACATGTTTGCTACATAAACTGCTGATGTTGTAGGAGTTGCACCTGATCTTTCTTGTGATATGACATATAGGGCTTCCCTCACTACTGATTACCATACTGCTGCTGCCTGTGCTACTATGGTAATGACTAGCTTTAACTCATTGCTGCTGCTGATGTAGATTCTTTCAGAAATATCAAGTAGACTTCTTTCATGTGAGAAAATCATATCATTTCTTTTTTCATAAACAATAATTTATCCTATTTTTCATATTTGAATGAAGGTGGTTTTTTTGTTTAGTAAAATATAATTATAACCTTTTAACCTGTAATATATGATGTATATTTGTCATCAAAATAATGTACCACATTTCCCTTAATATGTTACTATATTTCCAATTGTTTCTCAGTGCATGTAGAGTAATCACAATACGTCCAGTCATTGAAATATATAATGTATGTAGAATACCATACACTTGAAATATTATACATATGCTATGCATACATCAGATCAAAATGCAAAATATGAAGAATATAACTCCTTTAGGATATGAGTACAACATTTCATTGATGAATCTGTTTGTTTTGTGGTTCAAAAGAACTCACACTGCTATTCAGAACCAGTTTGAATGTTGATGCTTACTTTTGGATGTACAGTGTATTTGCAGCAGATAATGCTCTCTTTGGACATTTGCATGTGCTGGACTTTTGTTTTTGTATTTCGAGATTGTTTCGATAAATTTGAGAAAAGCATAATTTTAGCACATGTTAATGAAGAGGTCCTTCAGAACATGTCATTGTATGATATATTTCAATAAAGTATGTAGAAAACTGTGCCTGAGGTTTTTCATTCAAAAGGTATGCTAAAGGAAGGGTTTACAGGGCCACCAGACAGTGTTTACAGGGCCACTAGACACGGGGTTTACAGGGCCACCAGACAGTGTTTACAGGGCCTCCAGACACAGTGTTTACAGGGCCACTAGACACTGTTTACAGGGCCACTAGACACGGGTTTACAGGGCCACCAGACAGTGTTTACAGGGCCACTAGACACAGGGTTTACAGGGCCACCAGACAGTGTTTACAGGGCCTCCAGACACAGTGTTTACAGGGCCACTAGACACTGTTTACAGGGCCACTAGACACAGGGTTTACAAGGCCACTAGACAGGGTTTACAGGGCCACTTGACACAGGGTTTACAAGGCCACTAGACACAGGGTTCACAGGGCCTCCAGACACAGTGTTTACAGTGCCACTAGACACAGGGTTACAGGGCCTCCAGACAAGGGTTTACAGGGCCACTAGACACAGGGTTTACAGGGCCTCCAGACAAGGGTTTACAGGGCCTCCAGACACAGGGTTTACAGTGCCACTAGACACAGGGTTTACAGGGCCTCCAGACACAGGGTTTACAAGGCCTCCAGACACAGGGTTTACAGGGCCACTAGACAGGGGGTCTACGGGGCCTCCAGACACAGGGTTTACAGGGCCTCCAGACACAGGGTTTATAGGGCCACTAGACACAGGGTTTACAGGGCCTCCAGACACAGGGTTTACAGGGCCTCCAGACACAGGGTTTACAGGGCCTCCAGACACAGGGTTTACAGGGCCACTAGACACAGGGTTTACAGGGCCACTAGACAGGGTGTTTACAGGGCCACTAGACACAGGGTTTACATGGCCTCCAGACACAGGGTTTACAGGGCCTCCAGACACAGGGTTTACAGGGCCACTAGACAGGGGGTCTACGGGGTCTCCAGACACAGGGTTTACAGGGCCTCCAGACACAGGGTTTATAGGGCCACTAGACACAGGGTTTACAGGGCCTCCAGACACAGGGTTTACAAGGCCTCCAGACACAGGGTTTACAGGGCCACTAGACAGGGGGTCAACGGGGCCTCCAGACACAGGGTTTACAGGGCCTCCAGACACAGGGTTTATAGGGCCACTAGACACAGGGTTTACAGGGCCTCCAGACACAGGGTTAACAGGGCCACTAGACACAGGGTTTACAGGGCTACTAGACAGGGGGTCTACAGGGTCTCCAGACACAGGGTTTACAGGGCCACTAGACAGGGTTTACAGGGCCACTAGACACAGGGTTTACAGTGCCACTAGACACAGGGTTTACAGGGCCACTAGACACAGGGTTTACAGGACAACCAGACACAGGGTTTACAGGGCCTCCAGACACAGTGTTTACATGGCCTCCAGACACAGGGTTTACAGGGCCTCCAGACACAGGGTTTACAGGGCCTCCAGACACAGGGTTTATAGGGCCACTAGACACAGGGTTTACAGGGCCACTAGACACAGGTTTACAGGGCCACTAGACAGGGGGTCTACGGGGCCTCCAGACACAGGGTTTACAGGGCCACTAGACACAGGGTTTACAGGGCCTCCAGACACAGGGTTTACAGGGCCACTAGACACAGGGTTTACAGGGCCACTAGACACAGGGTTTACAGGGCCACTAGACAGGGGGTCTACAGGGCCTCCAGACACAGGGTTTACAGGGCCACTAGACACAGGGTTTACAGGGCCACTAGACAGGGGGTCTACGGGGCCTCCAGACACAGGGTTTACAGGGCAACCAGACACAGGGTTTACAGGGCCACTAGACACAGGGTTTACAGGGCCTCCAGACACAGGGTTTACAGGGCCACTAGACAGGGGGTCTACGGGGCCTCCAGACACAGGGTTTACAGGGCCTCCAGACACAGGGTTAACAGGGCCACTAGACACAGGGTTAACAGGGTCACTAGACAAAGGGTTTACAGTGCCACTAGACAGGGGGTCTAAAGGGGCTCCAGACACAGGGTTTACAGGGCAACCAGACACAGGGTTTACAGGGCCTCCAGACACATGGATTTGTGCAGAAACTCCTTGGGTGTGGAGTGCGGTCAGCCGAGGTGCGTTGGTTGAACCAAACAGTTCAATTCCCAACATGGGTATACACGGTGATGTTGATGGTCCTTTCAGACTAATGTCATTCAGTAAATGGCCTTGGGAATTGCAGGTAAAATATTCATCACACCATATATGAAGAACTCGGTTAACCTCCTTGTTTGAATACATAGGACATTCATTAGGGACTTTGGGTTCAGCTGCAGGTGCTGCCCTCTGAGTAAGTTGGAGTTCCATTTTGCCTACACCCTTATTTGCCTACAATGTAACTGTGGGCACATCGGGATTGAAAAAGATTAATGTGCACGACTCTAACATGTGTGATTCGTATAGTGATTAAAATAGAATATATGAACTAAATGTTTACATATTATAATTTATGCAATATATGCAACTACTACAAAAATATTATTCGGAACACTAAACACACCAAAATGGATGTGATTAACGCATAACCTGCCATCCTCACAACGTCCGGAAACACATGTACATACACAAGGTGCGAACCAACTTAAGTATCTCCAGAAGTAGTTGGGAAGAAGGGATTACGTATGGTGGGCTTATCACATTTTACCAGGTGTTCTTGAATGGCAGTTGATTTAAAAGATCAATGGATGGACGTATGAAAGAAATGTAGTTGTTCGGTTAGTTACAATCATCATGCGGATTAGAAGGTAGGCACAATGCGGGAACAGACATTGGAATCATCCCCTCATTCGGGGATAGGTAGACAATTCATATATGAAATATATCAATCAGCAGACCATATTTTGTTATGAAAGTACAGGCATTTGAGGATGTAGGGAAAATAAGAAATAAAATTTGTAATTTGTTTGTGAAAATCCCATATGGTCAATGGCGTGCATCTTCCCAAGGCAAGGGAGTTAACTGACTATAACAGTTCAGTTTTTACTGTACTTTTACAGTCAGTTAACTCCCTTGCGCTGGTAAGATGCGTGGTGGCGTGTGGATGGGATTTTATTTTTGGTTTGGTGTGAAGTGTGTCGTATGAATGTCTATCTATACAAGGAATCAATTGTATCTTTAAGACGCCTTGGATTTTAGTGTTTATATCAGACATTTCTAACTTGATATAGCTGCACCTGATATGCAGATGTGTCGTACCGATGCCTCGCACGAAGGTGTCTTTGTAGGTAGGGTTCTGCACGCTGACTTTATGGCTGAAGACTACCGACTACGACTACCGGGGAACGTTACGGCTGGAATAACGAGAAACTAGACTCTGTCCAGCTGACAGTCCAAGCAGGTTTCTAGGAAGACTTTTAAGACTATTAAACATCTCTTCGTTGGCATGCTAAGTCCTATTTCATTACATAGTTTTAAAGATATCAAAATGTCACGTTTTGTTATGATTTCAGTAATTCAATTCCTGATATCTTGAAACTAAAGTGTTGCCATTATTAAAGACTTCCGCTGATTTACAGATGTCTTCAAATGCTTCCGTCTGTTAAGCAATTTGGGATATGTAGCCGGACAAGAAGTATTTGAAGATATCTGTAAATCATTTCCCGCCATTTTGGGGACTGGAATAATTCGTGTAATTCCTTCATGTTACTTAAATTAGATAACAGATATCAATATTTGGTATAAAGATATCTTCAAAATAATTAATGATATCTTTATTTTATTTTTTATATCAGTAACGATCAGAATTTATGATATCTTGAATTGTAGTAAAGATGTCTCTAATTGAATTAAAGATATCTAAAACGAATTAATGATATCTGTAATGCATTTGTGGATATGTATAACTTATTTCAAGATATATTGAATTGAATTTAAGATATCTTGAATTTATTTCTAATATATTTATATGTACAGTAGGATGGTAATTGTTTAATGATATCTGAAATACATTTAGAGATATCACAAACTCTGAATTTGTTGATATCACCGTAACATTTTAAGATATCAGTAATTGTATTATGGATATCAGAAATGAATTTAAGATATCTTTAAACATTATTGATATCTTTAAATAAAATACCGATATCTTTAAAACAATTGAAAATATCAGTAATTCCGTAATAAATATGAAAAAGGCTTGCCATACGGGTGGCTCGATTTGTCGCAATTCGCTGGGCAGAGCTACGTCCATGAGACGTGCCTGAAAGCTATGATGGTGGGTTCCGTCCCATATGAAGCTGAAACTCTCTCACTTGGGAGCTATGCACGTGTCTCGATATAAACATGCATAACATGTTAAGGCCACCATAATTCGTTACATTTTCAATAAGAATTAATATGGAAGGCGCGAGGCATTTATATTTGTTATTTCTTTTCTAAACGAACTATTTAAGGCATTTGTATACATAACAGTTACTGTCGAAGGAGGGGCGGTCGCGAAGCCTAGTGGTTAAAGCGTTCGCTCGTCACGCCGAAGACCCGGGTTCGAATTCCGACATGGGTACAATGTGTGAAGCCCATTTCTGGTGTCCCCCGCCGTGATATTGCTGGAATATTGCTCAAAGCGGCGTAAAACCAAACTCACTCACACTCACTACTGTCGAAGGATGCGCTTCACACGCAGCATACGTGTTTAGTGGGTCTACATATATTTCAGTGAAGAAAGTAGGTACTCACATATTAGCGATGTCATGTCTGTGGAAACTTAGGACTTGCCTTAGGAGGCAATAAACTAATGTGAGGCGGGCGAGGATACACATATCTATTAATTGTGTATGGATTAAAGTGGTAGGGCGTGGTCCGATGTACAGCGCACAGGCCACAAATAAAGTAAAGCAACGTTGGTCACGAGAGTCCTTGGATGGGTGATCAGCTTGATTCCTGCGAGTTTGTTTAGATTCGGTCCAGCCACTACACTGAAGCACGTGTCTTCGTGGGCATGTGACTTTGTGCGAAACATGCATCTGTTCAAATTGTTTGATAGGCATGTCCTTGCTTGAGAACGGTATAAGGATCTATACCGAAACGTCGCTTTTCACAGTATTAAAGAAGTTGTTATCCATAAAATTGTGTCTACCATGCATCTGTTCACCCAGCAGTGAATGTGTAACCGGTAGGATGAGGTGAGGTGAAATTGGGTTAAAGGTCGCGTCCAAGATTATTGCACTTATATAGCGACGTGCATGCACGTGTGTGCGTGTCTGCTTGTACTAGTCTGGACTGATGCCGACTTATAGTGCTAGCTCACTGACATACCATGCCGAAGTTTAACATGAATACCCCACTCAGACACAGTATACTGACTCCGAGCCGACCATTCCTTGTTTTAGCCCCTTAATGCCGAGCGCCAGACAAGGTAACAACAAGTACCATCTTTCAACGTCTTTTGGTATGACGCGGCCGGGGAACGAACCCCGGACCTTCCGCTCTCCGGGCGGACGCTCTACCACTAGACCACGGAGGCGGCCAACCGGTAGGATGAGATGGCAATGTCACTGTTAACCTTCTAGCACCTCACAGGTAGCTGCGAATGGAATTCGAGTGCACATTGATCCATGTATATTATATATAGAGTCCTAGATATGTTGTGTAAAACATCGGACAAGCTAGTTTGAGTCGACCGCTCCAACATGGTCTGTGTGGATTTTGTTTTAATGAATATGCCAGCCCTATATAATATTACCTCATTCAGTGTTTCACTGACTGACTGTGCCTGACCAATAACCTGTGCGTATGGTGCCGTATTTACTATGAGAAGCTAGACTGTCGGAATGTACAGTATGTACATGTAAAATGGTTCATGTGATATTCGCCAAGAAAAGGGGTAGCCTAGTGGTTAAAGCGTTCGCTCGTCACGCCGAAAACCTAGGTTCCATTCCCCACGTGGGTACAAGGTGTGAAGCCCATCTCTGGTGTCCCTCGCCGTGATATTGCTGAAATATTGCTAAAAGCGGCGTATAACCCAAACCCCAACCCAAATTCTAAACTTTAACTACTGAAGTCGTAGAAAAGTATAATGAGATCACAATAGCTACTTCTAGATCTATGTGCATGAATCTTGGACTAATGCGAAGTTATCACAATGTTAATTAACTTTTTACAGACTTAAATGAGCCAGTATGGTTTGACGCAGCTTTGAGCAATATTCCAGCAATATCACGGCGGGGGACGCCAGAAATGGGCTTCACGCATTGTACCCATGTCGGGAATCGAACCCGGGGCTTCGACGTGACGAGCGAACGCTTTGACCACTAGGCTACCCGACCGCCTCTTACAGACTTACAATTTCTTGACGTGAATTATAGCATAATTGTTTTAGTAATTCTCCTGGTATATAGGTTTATGACAACTAAACTGACACACCGTTATATATAACTGTGTGAGTGAGTGAGTTGGGTTTAACGCCGCTTTTAACACTATTCCAGTTATATCACGGCGTGTCAGTTTTATGTGGGAGGAAAGCCTAACGTGTTGCAGGTCTCAGACGTTTACCGCGGCGATCGCGGCGCCTTAGACGACTGGGCCACCCGTGCCCCCCTTATATATAACTGGAATACTGTTAAACCCAACTCACCCACCCATATGAAATTGTTTTGTATAAATTAAATAGCATTTTGAAGTTAAGCCTTAAGTTTGCTAAATGCCACTGAGGTAATGAAACCACGGAAGAAGCATTCCACGGGACTAATGAGGTGCGCACGCGCCTTGATCATGTGATTACCGCATGCGCGCTGACAGCGTCTTAAACGCGAGAATGCAAGAACGTGAGAAAATGTTATGTCACATTCTCGCGTACACGCGATTTCGTGTTCTGTGATGAGATTGAGAGATTTTACATCATGTCCAAATGTCGCCGTCTCGCGTTCTCAACTTGTGATAAAAGGTTTTGTGTTCAAAAACCACGAGCAGGCGAAAACGCGAAATTGTGGACATATCTGTTCTCGCTATCTCGCATTCTCGCACTTTTAGCATACTTTGAGAGGCATTTAGAAGTTGGAGTACTAAGTAAGGATAAGATATATTGATGAACAACTTCTTTATTACAATTAGGAGCGTGATTACTACGTCTCCATGAAGACGACGAATAACCTCTTTGAGAGGCCCCACTAGCTTGATAACGGTGTTAGAACCTACACCGAAACGTCGCTCCTAATTGTAATAAAGAAGTTTTTCATCCATTTATCTTATTCTTACTCATATTTAGCTTGTTTGCAGAGGTCGAGATTGCGAAAATGTGAAATCACGAGAATGACCCTTACAGTATTCCATACTTATGTGAAGAAATGTTTACACTCAGTACTTACAACAACAGCACACATGCCACTAATTACAACGTGTATACGACATAGCTGTTGAGCACATTCCCTCTGTTGTCGAGTGATGCTTACACATTCATCACGGTAAAGGAGAATACATGTGCGGATATTCCAACATTCTAACTCCTATAGGTAGAACAAAGACATTTGTAAAGTATGAATCAGAGATTTATCCACTGGAAAATGAGTTTCTAAATATAAACAGTCGTACTATTAAACAAGTAACTATTACAATTAGAGTACAGGCGATTCGCTTACCAATAAATTTAGCCGTCAAAAGTATGTGCAATATGCACGGGCTGCTGACATTCAAAGGGCATCAAACCGAGGGAAACAATACGAAGAAGTATAAATCTATTTTCTGTATTTCTTATTCAAGATGGGAAGAAGAGTTCTCAAGCCACGTTTGGTTGCAGGCCCATTATCCAGCACTCTCTTCAGCAGCAGTTTCAGCAGTTCGTTATTCAGCTGGCGCCTTGTACTATCGCTCTCCTCCTCCTCCTCCGACTCCTCCTCGACCTCCGGTGTTGGGACTATAAGGTAGTGAAAGAAGCCATTACTACACCCCCCTGACGTGGCGCACACTATTATATGGTGGAGGTGTGTATGAAGTTATTGATCACATGGGTGAGATGTATTATACGGTGGAGGCGTGTTTGAAGTTACTGATCACATGGGTGAGATGTATTATATGGTGGAGGTGTGTTTGAAGTTATGGTTCACATGGGTGAGATGTATTATACGGTGGAGGCGTGTATGAAGTTACTGATCACATGGGTGAGATGTATTATACGGTGGAGGTGTGTATGAAGTTACTGATCACATGGGTGAGATGTATTATATGGTGGAGGTGTATGAAGTTACTGATCACATGGGTGAGATGTATTATACGGTGGAGGCGTGTTTGAAGTTACTGATCACATGGGTGAGATGTATTATATGGTGGAGGTGTGTTTGAAGTTATGGTTCACATGGGTGAGATGTATTATACGGTGGAGGCGTGTATGAAGTTACTGATCACATGGGTGAGATGTATTATATGGTGGAGGCGTGTATGAAGTTACTGATCACATGGGTGAGATGTATTATATGGTGGAGGCGTGTATGAAGTTACCGATCACATGGTTGAGATGTATTATATGGTGGAGGTGTGTATGAAGTTACTGATCACATGGGTGAGATGTATTATATGGTGGAGGTGTGTATGAAGTTACAGATCACATGGGTGAGATGTATTATACGGTGGAGGCGTGTATGAAGTTATTAATCACATGGGTGAGATGTATTATATGGTGGAGGCGTGTATGAAGTTACCGATCACATGGTTGAGATGTATTATACGGTGGAGGCGTGTATGAAGTTATTAATCACATGGGTGAGATGTATTATATGGTGGAGGCGTGTATGAAGTTACTGATCACATGGGTGAGATGTATTATACAGTGGAGGTGTGTATGAAGTTATTGATCACATGGGTGAGATGTATTATACGGTGGAGGCGTGTATGAAGTTATTGATCACATGGGTGAGATGTATTGTATGGTGGAGGTGTATGAAGTTACTGATCACATGGGTGAGATGTATTATACGGTGGAGGCGTGTTTGAAGTTACTGATCACATGGGTGAGATGTATTATATGGTGGAGGTGTGTTTGAAGTTATGGTTCACATGGGTGAGATGTATTATACGGTGGAGGCGTGTATGAAGTTACTGATCACATGGGTGAGATGTATTATATGGTGGAGGCGTGTATGAAGTTACTGATCACATGGGTGAGATGTATTATATGGTGGAGGCGTGTATGAAGTTACCGATCACATGGTTGAGATGTATTATATGGTGGAGGTGTGTATGAAGTTACTGATCACATGGGTGAGATGTATTATATGGTGGAGGTGTGTTTGAAGTTATGGTTCACATGGGTGAGATGTATTATACGGTGGAGGCGTGTATGAAGTTACTGATCACATGGGTGAGATGTATTATACGGTGGAGGTGTGTATGAAGTTACTGATCACATGGGTGAGATGTATTATATGGTGGAGGTGTGTTTGAAGTTATGGTTCACATGGGTGAGATGTATTATACGGTGGAGGCGTGTATGAAGTTACTGATCACATGGGTGAGATGTATTATACGGTGGAGGTGTGTATGAAGTTACTGATCACATGGGTGAGATGTATTATATGGTGGAGGTGTATGAAGTTACTGATCACATGGGTGAGATGTATTATACGGTGGAGGCGTGTTTGAAGTTACTGATCACATGGGTGAGATGTATTATATGGTGGAGGTGTGTTTGAAGTTATGGTTCACATGGGTGAGATGTATTATACGGTGGAGGCGTGTATGAAGTTACTGATCACATGGGTGAGATGTATTATATGGTGGAGGCGTGTATGAAGTTACTGATCACATGGGTGAGATGTATTATATGGTGGAGGCGTGTATGAAGTTACCGATCACATGGTTGAGATGTATTATATGGTGGAGGTGTGTATGAAGTTACTGATCACATGGGTGAGATGTATTATATGGTGGAGGTGTGTATGAAGTTACAGATCACATGGGTGAGATGTATTATACGGTGGAGGCGTGTATGAAGTTATTAATCACATGGGTGAGATGTATTATATGGTGGAGGCGTGTATGAAGTTACCGATCACATGGTTGAGATGTATTATACGGTGGAGGCGTGTATGAAGTTATTAATCACATGGGTGAGATGTATTATATGGTGGAGGCGTGTATGAAGTTACTGATCACATGGGTGAGATGTATTATACAGTGGAGGTGTGTATGAAGTTATTGATCACATGGGTGAGATGTATTATACGGTGGAGGCGTGTATGAAGTTATTGATCACATGGGTGAGATGTATTGTATGGTGGAGGTGTATGAAGTTACTGATCACATGGTTGAGATGTATTATACGGTGGAGGCGTGTTTGAAGTTACTGATCACATGGGTGAGATGTATTATATGGTGGAGGTGTGTTTGAAGTTATGGTTCACATGGGTGAGATGTATTATACGGTGGAGGCGTGTATGAAGTTACTGATCACATGGGTGAGATGTATTATATGGTGGAGGCGTGTATGAAGTTACTGATCACATGGGTGAGATGTATTATATGGTGGAGGCGTGTATGAAGTTACCGATCACATGGTTGAGATGTATTATATGGTGGAGGTGTGTATGAAGTTACTGATCACATGGGTGAGATGTATTATATGGTGGAGGTGTGTATGAAGTTACAGATCACATGGGTGAGATGTATTATACGGTGGAGGCGTGTATGAAGTTATTAATCACATGGGTGAGATGTATTATATGGTGGAGGCGTGTATGAAGTTACCGATCACATGGTTGAGATGTATTATACGGTGGAGGCGTGTATGAAGTTATTAATCACATGGGTGAGATGTATTATATGGTGGAGGCGTGTATGAAGTTACTGATCACATGGGTGAGATGTATTATACAGTGGAGGTGTGTATGAAGTTATTGATCACATGGGTGAGATGTATTATACGGTGGAGGCGTGTATGAAGTTATTGATCACATGGGTGAGATGTATTGTATGGTGGAGTCGTGTATGTAATTATTGATCACCTGGGTGAGATGCATATATGGTGGAGGCGTGTATGAAGTTATTGATCACATGGGTGAGATGTATTATATGGTGGGTGCGTGTATGAAGTTATTGATCACATGGGTGAGATGTATTATATGGTGGGGGCGTTTATGAAGTTATTGATCACATGGGTGAGATGTATTATATGGTGGAGGTGAGAATGAAGTTATTGATCACATGGTTGAGATGTATTATACGGTGGAGGCGTGTATGAAGTTACTGATCACATGGGTGAGATGCATTATATGGTGGAGGCGTGTATGAAGTTACAGATCACATGGGTGAGATGTATTATATGGTGGAGGTGTGTATGAAGTTACTGATCACATAGGTGAGATGTATTATATGGTGGAGGTGTGTATGAAGTTACTGATCACATGGGTGAGATGTATTATATGGTGGAGGCGTGTATGAAGTTACTGATCACATGGGTGAGATGCATTATACGGTGGAGGTGTGTATGAAGTTACTGATCACATGGGTGAGATGTATTATACGGTGGAGGTGTGTATGAAGTTACTGATCACATGGGTGATATGTATAATGCGGTGGAGGCGTGTATAAAGTTACTGATCACATGGGTGAGATGTATTATACGGTGGAGACGTGTATGAAGTTACTGATCACATGGGTGAGATGTATTATATGGTGGAGGTGTGTATGAAGTTACTGATCACATGGGTGAGATGTATTATATGGTGGAGGTGTGTATGAAGTTATTGATCACATGGTTGAGATGTATTATACGGTGGAGGTGTGTATGAAGTTACTGATCACATGGGTGAGATGTATTATATGGTGGAGGTGTGTATGAAGTTATTGATCACATGGGTGAGATGTATTATACGGTGGAGGTGTGTATGAAGTTACTGATCACATGGGTGAGATGTATTATATGGTGGAGGTGTGTATGAAGTTATTGATCACATGGGTGAGATGTATTATACGGTGGAGACGTGTATGAAGTTACTGATCACATGGGTGAGATGTATTATATGGTGGAGGTGTGTATGAAGTTATTGATCACATGGTTGAGATGTATTATACGGTGGAGGTGTGTATGAAGTTACTGATCACATGGGTGAGATGTATTATATGGTGGAGGCGTGTATGAAGTTACAGATCACATGGGTGAGATGTATTATATGGTGGAGGTGTATGAAGTTACTGATCACATGGGTGAGATGTATTATATGGTGGAGGTGTATGAAGTTACTGATCTCATGGGTGAGATGTATTATATGGTGGAGGCGTGTATGAAGTTACTGATCACATGGGTGAGATGTATTATACGGTGGAGGTGTGTATGAAGTTACTGATCACATGGGTGAGATGTATTATACGGTGGAGGTGTGTATGAAGTTACTGATCACATGGGTGAGATGTATTATACGGTGGAGGTGTGTATGAAGTTATTAATCACATGGGTGATATGTATAATGCGGTGGAGGCGTGTATAAAGTTACTGATCACATGGGTGAGATGTATTATACGATGGGGGCGTGTATGAAGTTATTAATCACATGGGTGAGATGTATTATATGGTGGAGGTGTGTATGAAGTTACTGATCACATGGGTGAGATGTATTATACGGTGGAGGTGTGTATGAAGTTACTGATCACATGGGTGATATGTATAATGCGGTGGAGGCGTGTATAAAGTTACTGATCACATGGGTGAGATGTATTATACGATGGGGGCGTGTATGAGATATATATGCTAAAATCAGAGTCCATTTTACGATTCCGTGTATATATTATATTAAGCATGTGTTTATGCATCACTATCAAATAATGACGACAACAGGTGTTAGCGAAAAGATGAAATAAACTTGTTTAAACTTAAGTAATCCTCAAAAAATGTATTGAGTTCATTCCCGGCCCAGTTGAAGATCTTATAATAGGATGCAAGAAAGCAGGATTTCAAATATTTTGCATGATAGATGCATATACATGTATGTATATACTTACAGGCCGCGCCCACGGCTCTCAAAAACTTCTCTGTCGTGTGGTGGATGGCATTAATCTTGGCCACGGTGCGGAGAATCACTTCCATCTCATCATCTGCGTTGGGGGGCCCTTCAAATATCCAGTAAAATATCTAAACGCTGCGAATATACATCTCCATCTTACAAACTCGCTTACCAAGCCCTGGACCACGCCCTCGTGTGTTAACTGGTTAATTTTTACGATGCAAGACTTTTTTCCATATTCACGTGAACGCTCAGCCAAATGCAGAGTCGATTGTACGATTCCGACAATGTCATAAGCATATGTTTACGAACCACTATCAAATAGCGATGATATCAGGTGTTCGCGAAAAGGTGAGCGTATCAAGCCCTACCGGTGGCACCCGTCACAAACACATGCACAGACAAGTCAATTGTTTACCTGAAACATTCGTGAACTTTGATATGGCACAAGTGAAAATAGAGAATTGCATCGAACATAAATTTTGTCACCGATGCGCCAAATATGGAAATGTCCTCCATAAGTCTACAATAAAGCTTTTTGAAAGCTTCACTGAGACCTTGATACACGTCTGGTTCATCATTTATATATCTGACACAGAGTCTATCTTCTCACCCTGTGCAGCCTCTTCAAACTTTTCAAAGATGTTTTCGATTTTCTCCCCAATGCAGCCGAAATTGTCGGCCATTAGTCCAACTGCCTCCATCTGCTCAATTGGCTTCCCTGTGTGAAAAAATACTTTAATATGAAAAAAATCAATTTTCATCAAAGATCGACCACCCTTATTACAATAATAAATTAAAACAAAAATGTGATTCACTACTCTCTCTCTCTCTCTCTCTCGTATCCGGTTCTTATATTCATAATTAAAACATGTATCAATAAGTATACATATTATGTACACTAAATTGCGACTATCAGTGAGTGAGTGCCTGAGGCAAACCCGTGGTTGAAATAATGAGCAGCTCATTCACTCCTATAACTCTAACAGGATGCCTTACCTTCCTCGTGCCTGCGTTTGAGATATCCCGCCAAACTCCCACACAATGGAGGTGGCCCATCACCCTCCGGCTCTGAAATAATACAACGTTGAGCTGTTCACACAATGGCTACAACGCAGCATTAATAAACAATGTAAACTAGATAACACAGACCTACCTACCCCGACCTCCTGTATCTAATCCACCCACCTACCCTGCACCACATCCATCCCTCCACCCCGATCTCTTGCATCTCACCCACCCACCTACCCTGCTCCACATCCATCCCTCCACCCCGACCTCCTGCATCTCACCCATCCACCTACCCTGCTCCACATCCATCCCTCCACCCCGACCTCCCGCACCTCACCCATCCACCTACCCTGCACCACATCCATCCCTCCACCCCGATCTCCTGCATCTCACCCATCCACCTACCCTGCACCACATCCATCCCTCAACCCCGACCTCCTGCATCTCACCCATCCACCTACCCTGCACCACATCCATCCCTCCACCGCGACCTCCTCCATCTCTGCCACCTCCCGACCTCCTGCATCTCACCCACCCACCTACCCTACACCACATCCATCCCTCCACCGCGACCTCCTCCATCTCTGCCACCTCCCGACCTCCTGCATCTCACCCACCCACCCACCTACCCTACACCACATCCATCCCTCCACCGCGACCTCCTCCATCTCTGCCACCTCCCGACCTCCTGCATCTCACCCACCCACCTACCCTACACCACATCCATCCCTCCACCGCGACCTCCTCCATCTCTGCCACCTCCCGACCTCCTGCATCTCACCCACCCACCTACCCTACACCACATCCATCCCTCCACCGCGACCTCCTCCATCTCTGCCACCTCCCGACCTCCTGCATCTCACCCACCCACCTACCCTACACCACATCCATCCCTCCACCGCGACCTCCTCCATCTCACCCACCTCCCGACCTCCTCCATCTCACCCAATTACCCTGCATCTCACCTCCATCCATCCGCCCCACCACCCTGCATCCGAGCCTGTACTCCCCCTGACCTTCTGCACCTCGCCCGCCCATCTACCCTGCACCACATCCATCCCTCCACCCCGTCCCCTCTATCGCCCCCACTGCCTGTCCCGACCCCCGTGTCTCTCACTTTTAAACAGTGAAGAGAGAGCCGACAGCAGAAAGTGCTCCGTCCCCTCAAACACGTGGTCAGCCTTCTCCATCTCTTTCTGCTTCTTCTCCAACGCAATCATGTCTGAAACAGTCAATGAAACATTCTTAATTTTAAAGGTGAACCTTTTTCCCCGATACATTTCCAAGTCAAAATCGTTCAATTAGCCGGACCAGATATACTCCTCAATAAATAGGCCTTACATTCACAGGTGCAACTTTCGTCCAACGTACGTTTTTGGTATTTATTTCTTGATTAACGTATTTGTTCAATGCGTGTTGTCTGTAGCTGCACATGTCACACCCTCTCTTATTACGTCCCCGAATGTCTGGGGATTCCGGGTAGGAATATAAACATGCTTGTCGTAAGACGCGATAAAATGAGTTCTAAAACATGACAACGTTTCTAGGTTCAAATACTGAACAACCTCCATATACTTGTATTCTCTTTGTATACATGAATATCTCACACACAAAACGTTCCCGCGCCCAAAAGTTCATCATGGTCCTACTTTCTTTACTTACAATTTTTGGGGTAATACCGGTACATATATATTATAACGCCTTCACAGCCTAAATCTTTTCTTGGAAATGAACTGGTGGGATTCCGATGAACAAATGATTAAAAATATTTTTTGAACTTCCGAATTATGGCTGAAGGAAGTGCCCACTGGTTTGTTTGTTTGTTTGTTTGTTTGATTGTTTGACTACGCAATCAGCAACATTCAAGCTATATGACGGCGGTCTGTAAAAATCGAGTCTTGGACCAGACAATCCAGTGATTGATATAATGAGCATCGATCAACGCAATTGGGCTACGATGACATGCATCCACCAAGTTAGCGATCCTGACCACCCGATCCCGTTAGTCGCCTTACAAGCATGGATTGCTGAAGACCTATTGTCTAACTGGATCTCCACGGGTCAGTACCCACTGGTTTTAAATATTATACACAATGAGAAAGCAGTTCAAATGGACAGTCACTATATGGTTGAGATATTGCCGATGCGGCGCTAAATCTTAACGCACATCAAATGAACAAAATACCACATGAATATATACAGTTTAACGATATCCCGAGACAGCCCCGAGATCACCCGACTTCATCCGAACGTACTTACCGAGTTTTTCCAAGATTCCCCCCAAATCTTTAAAATCCTTTGCAAAGCCAAGAGCGTGCTTGGCTTGCTCCTTCATGAAATTGAAGAATCCACGTGGGTCAAATCCTGGAAGAACGTATATATAGAGGGCGTTATACATGTACACGATATTTTAACTTCAAAAGTAAAGATGTCATAACTGGCTTCATTAACTAGTTACAGAGATAACAGACACATAGTCGTGTTTTTTTTATGTTTTAAGAGTGAAACAGTTTGTGCCTGTGCATATAGACTTTGTTGTACACAGGGAACAGGGGGTGTAGGTGTCCGGGTGGTATTGATTTTTTAAAGGAATAGTTTGTTCAGTAATATGCCAAAAACGAATAACTTGTGGCAGTGGTAAAATAAATCACAATTTTGCTTAAATGGTCAGTTTTAGATATATTTTTTTCAAATCAAATTATTAAGAAAGTTTTGTACAACGGATAGTTATTGTGTTGTTGCATGTTTTAACCCTATAATGACTACTGTGTCTATGTCAAATGTTGATAGGTACAAAGTATTTTGTGGAAAATACCCACACGTCAAACATTTGGTGGTAATAGTGAAATTGAATAGATTGTTTGATGGTGCTCAGTAAACAAATATTTTGTTGGATGTAGAAGGGGAAAATAGAGATTGCTCTAGAATAAATCACCACAATGCCTATATCGTGACGTGGACACCGTCTTTTCCATATCGTTGTATTGAAGAGAGTGGGTGAGTGAGTTGGGTTTAACGCCGCTTTTAACGTTATTCCAGTTATATCGCGGCGTGTCAGCTTTATGTAGGAGGAAAGCCCAAAGTGATGCAGGTCTCAGACGTTTACCACTTCTGTGAAATCCACGAGCACGGGTATGGTGCCGGGGCGAACCGGGATTCGAACCCACAATCATAGGTTTCTGGCGTGCCCAAGGGACGCAATTCTGCACAGCGAATCGCGGGTGTTGAAGAGACTCGGACTGAGCTGATTACGTTTGCTGTGTAAGGTGCCTGGTGAGCACTGGTTTACTTGGAGTTTCCCGGTGTCGAGATGACGAGTGTGAGGGTGAATTGTGTTTTATGACGCAACATCCCAGCTCTATCACTACGCCTAAAAAGGACACATCAGGGTACTCAATTGTCATTGATAAAATCTGCTGGTCGCATAGGTATATGACTGAAAAGAGACGTCACATTTCACACATGCATTTACATTAAAAACTAGTTAGAATTAAAGAAATCTCTCTTTTCATCACACAAGAACATTACACACGCAGTACAATCACTACAAAGATCCAAGTTACAATTAATTTTGTTTTCGAGAATATGACCCCTCTAGCTACCTTGCCATTAGGGCTGGGACGGGTAACTCAGGTACCCGGGTCGGGTGGGTACTGAGTAGGACCCGGGTGTATACACTTCAGTGTATGAAGGACCAGATTGTTTAATACGTGTATCTAAATACGTTTTGTCAGGGCTATGCTAAAAATGTTCCCAATCAGACATTTTGAGACATCTCCTGAGACCAACAGTGGGTGCCCGGGTAGGGTCGGGTAATAGGGGGTAGGGTACCCGGGTAGTAAATTTGGACTCGTCCCAGCCCTACTTGCCATGTATGTACACATAGCCAGCACATCACAGTCATACCCAAGGGCTAATTATCGGTCTTGTGGTAGATACCTGCATGAATGCCATTATAAATGCATTTCTTCCAATGAGTAGCATGTACGACAAATGTTTAGCGACATAGACAGCCACAGGCAAATAAACATGTGTACTTCAGATTAACTATATTTAGATTTAGTAAACAACATGTAATGGCTTTCTGTTTCCAGCGGCCTGTATATCCGTATGATGAGGTTGGCTTCATTATGCGATGTTCTATTTGTAGTACAAATATCCTTTACACCGACGTACTTGTAAACAACAAGTCACCAACTGCATTCACACGTATATTAAAACATGTTTCTAAAACCTAAGGCTATGTACAATCAATAGTGAGTGAGTGAGTATGGTTTTACGCCGCTTTTAACAATATTCAAGCAATATCACGGCGGGGGACACCAGAAATGAGCATCACACATTGTACCCATGTCGGGAATCGAACCCGGGTCGTCGGCGTGACGAGCGAACGCTTTAACCGCTAGACTACCCGACCGCCCCTACAATCAATAAACGAAGCCGTAGACGATTCCATAGCGCCATGATAACGGAGAACGAACTCCAACCATTCACGTACAAGTTATAATGCAGGTATATAAGTATATGGCCCGTGTGTTGGGTTCACTGGAACTGTGACACATCGCATTATTAGCTATCATCACAACAACTGACACTGAAACATTCCGTGTGTACACGCATGATTTAACACACAGTCACTGAGGCATGACGCTTGGAGAATGAATAGTATTTGCCCTGCCTGGGAAATACATGTCTTCCTTTCAAGAACAGTGAGATAAAAGACCGTCTATATAATTTGAGAACCCTGACTCACATATAATTATTGACTACCTTGCTTTCAGTTACCTCCATAGTGACGATTGACAGCATAACTCTAGCTGTAGATGTCCATACAACACCACACAGCCCTGTCTGCAGAGCAGAGCCGCGTAGTGTGCCACCTGGTCCTTTACATATCGTGGAAACTATCTCTCTGTCTGCTATGTTTCTTATAATATTGTATAAATGTAGTAGTATGGAATTATGTATATATCATGTATTTAAGGTCAGCTCTTATTTTAATACCTAAGTCTTAGTCCTTGTTCAACCACCCAATCTAACCTGCTTCACTATTACAATAGCACAGTCACCCTGGTGCTTGCCTTCTCTATTGTTTCTCTGGGTCTATATCAATCTAATTAAGATCAGACCTTAGTTCTTGCTACCGCTAAACAAAGTTCACTTACTTTCAGTGACAGGATGCATTATGGGACTGGTCAGTTTGAATTTAGACTTGAATTTGACTCTGCATGGAAGCAAGTTCTCAATTCATCGCTGAAATAATTCTGTCAACTATCACAGGTGTATTCCGGTAAATCAAATTACGCATATGATGTTGTGACATCATAGGGCCCGGTGCCATACACTTGGGCGTTTGTTCATTTAATTCTACTGAAAAAAACAACTGTCATCTACAAATCAACCTGCGTTTGGGTGATTCATTCACCAAAACCGCTCCGGTTACATAAGCTTGTCAGAGATTCGTCATTAATCGGAGCCCCCCACCCCTCCCAACCCACTCCCTAACCCCCAAGCGCGTCTAACATAATATATTTAAGTTAGATGACTTATTGTTTGTCTTACCTGATCAACATTAAAATTTCGACTTGTTTTCGGCGTCCATACTGCATGCGCTACAGAATAGGGTTTTGTTGGACCAAACAAACCAGTGATCGGTAGTGGGAACATTTATCCCGCCGGAGTACGATGCTATACAGACAGCTATAGGTTATTATAGGCAACATTCTCTACCCTCATCCTTCCTACGCGGACATCAGTATGGGGCGACCCGCTGTGCCATCACTCCTTCCCACCATTAAAATTGATTCATGACGAAAGTAAGTTACAGTAGAATCTGACAAAACCAGGCTCTGTCTAATTCGGATCTCTGTCAATTCCGGGCCAAGACTACAGTCCCGGAATTACTACGTTGATGTATCATCAAATGCAATCTGTCCAGTTCTGACTTCCTTCACAGAAACTACGGGACAGTTTATCATGTAAATATACAACGTTAACGCCAGAGAATATCTATTCTCGATTATCTACCGAAACAGATTCATTGGACGTAAAAGGACAAAATATCGGTGAAAATTAACTTAATGGATCATTGAAAATCAGTGATGAAACCAGGTGTTCGCAAAAAGGGTGAGCATATCCCGCCCTAGAGGCAGCACCCGCCACGCACACAATTCACATAAAACAGTGAGCGTTTGTTGCCTGACACCACACAGCAGTACTCCTGCCAGGCGATGAAGGCCTGTCAACAACCCTGATAATCAAGTGATCGATGGACCAGAAAACCCAGAGACACCATTGCGCATTTAATGATTTTGCTGAAACTACGGCATGTTAATTTTGAATTACGTCTTCTGTGTATAGTGAGTGAGTGAGTGAGTACGGTTTTACGCCGCTTTTAGCAATATTCCAGAAATGGGCTTCACACATTGTACCCATGTCGGGATTCGAACCCGGGTCTTCGGCGTGACGAGCGAAAGCTTTAACCATCAGGCTACCCGACCGCCCCTCTTCTGTGTATAAATGCAGAGCTTCTGCTGCTTATAAGGAAAGGAAAACATATGAGAAATATGTTCGTTTGGTAACATATTTGGGGCAGTTGTAATGGCTGAGTGACGCTCTCTAGTTTGGATGAACATTGAATACATCTCACATTTCAGAGTATGTATTTTTACATGTAGTCTGTGGATGGATACTCACGGTCTGAAGGAGGTGGTGGACCCGTTCGTTGACCCGTTGGTGGACCCGTTGGTGGACCCGTTGGTGGATCCGTTACCTGAGGAAAGAAAAAAGTAAACATCAGATTCCCATAAACGTGAAATACGAGCTAGCATTCAGATCATAATAGTACAATTTACAAGATGTAGCGCTGTGGTTGTTGCCCACAAAGTCAAAACCACTTTCTTGGTGCTGTTCCCGCGCAACAGTGAACTGTACATCAGACCACAGATTTGTTTTTATTCTACCCACAAAACGGAAATCTGGAGGAGCTGACGAACAGTTCGTACGATCATTAGAGGACCCGTTGCTGGAGCCCTTGGTGGACGCGTTACCCGAGTAAAGAAACACGTAGGAACAAGGCTTATGGTACCAAGGGCTATTTCACAAGTGGTTATATGTCTGCACAGTTGGGAGACTGGCACATCTCTGAAGCCATATATTTCATCATAAATTAAATTGCTGGAACGAACGAACATTGTTACAGTAAGATTGTATGGGTAGCGAGTGTGTGAGTCGGCATGTAATCCGCATCGTACAGTACTTCAGTCACATCAAACAGCGGAGGCAACCCCAAGGGACGTATACAGGGTGCTTGCAAGGACCATAATCAGATCCTGGTACCACATAGGGACGCAACTCTGCTAACGATTGACATAGCGACTTACACAGATGTATTTAAGCCTGTATACAATGCGCTGTGCGTAATCTACCTGGAATGTTCCCAGGTCTTACATACATGAATACACAAATAAAAACGTAGTTCACTGAACCTGAAACAGGCTAAGCTTGTACGTGACATTAAGAACATATAAATACATGCTGTGCATTGACGCTGAACATGTCGACATCGACTGCACTGTATCAGTGCTGCACGTCCTAACACCATGTCGTAAAGAAGGATTCAAACTTAATAAACAAGATCCTCCACACCTATTATCTTTAAAGCACAAAAGAAACATTACGATTATACAGTGTATATGGGGACTTGCCGGGATGTGTGTTGCTATACCAGTTAAATACTGCAGATGTATGGGTATCTGGTATACTCAAGATCCTGGAACTATTATGGACCTTCCTGTCTGGACACATCATACAGCGCAGGTGCATGGGTCTATCATACAAATAGGTGCCTTGATGTATGATATACCTGTATTCCTTGATGATAAACTAAGAAAGGAAATGGTAGTTTAGCTTACCTGAATGGCCCCACCCTGCACTTGCAGGGCTGGGATGACGAGAAGAAGAGCGATGACTGCCAGCGTGTTCATGCTGAATGATCTCCACTAGCCGGGTGTGGGGTTTATATACCCTCTGAAGGGACTTGGACCGTGACGTTATGCAAACGTGTACGTCGTCCCTGACGAAGCTCGAGAAGGTTGTCTTAGAGACGTGGTGCTAAATATGATGGCTCAGTGGGCACACTGAAAGAATCCCAACGCCCAAGTACTTCCAGTGAATGTGATAAATAGAAGCAATGTATGACTTTTCACCTATAGGTATAGATCTTCTCATTGACCTCTCTCTCATTTCTTTTACTACCCTGCCCAGACCTGTTTCTCCCACCCTGTGAATAATGGTGAACGATAGTGTAGGTGCCTGAAACAAGGTTTGCGAAAAAAGATAGAACAAGTCAGCACACGCGGCTTAGGGCGGGAGTGATGGTACTGTTACATCTGTAAGTTGTAAAATCTTATAGTTTGTATCTCCGAGTTTAGATTAAATGTAAACGGTCATACATCTACCCTTCATCTAAACAGTCACCATACATGTACAGAGATCCCTGGTGTAAACAGTCATAAACATACAGAGATTCCTGATGTAAACAGTCATAGACGTATAGGTATCCCTGATGTAAACCGTCTAAACACTTAATAACCACATTCAGTGAATTCTCCATTACTCGAAATCGTTTGGTCATCGAATATATACTTCGAGACAAGCGTTGAAATGATAACGCTATAAAGCTACATCGTGTAAAACAAGGCATTGAGAACATGGACTTCAAGTAAAGCAGCCTGTATTGTGTTTATTCCCAGTCTATAAGTACAAGGCGTCTGACCATGTGAATTGTAATGTATAGAGGGAGGGATGTGTTCAGCTGCTGTGGTTTTTACACAGGTGTGATTAACGTCCCTCTCGGGCGCTCTGAGCTCGGAATTCCCACTAACTAATGACCAGATTTGTCATACTCATTACCCCGATAATAACTGTGGATCGTTAAGGTTATTTTCGGCAAGTCGCTACCGAGTTAGATATTTCTACACGTCCCAAGAAACCCTGCCATGTCTTATAATTCACATGTCACATGATCGACTTCCAATACAACCGTGTACAACCGTACCGAGAACCCCAATACAACACAATGTTACCCATAATAAGGGCACGGGTACAGGGGAATATATTTTAAGATATAACATAGCGACGCGATCAATCGCAAATAACAATGAAGAACGAAATGTGGTTCATTTCACAATAAAACATTATCAACATCAGTCATGACGTCATTTCTGGAGATTCGAACATGCGCTCGGAACTTGATGACATCGTATATTAGACGACGTTATTTTTGAGAGGGTAGTGTCAAGTGAGTTGTTCCCCATAGATGTAGCATGGCAACGCAGATAAACGCGATGGCCGAGCGATCCATCCAAAAGGTATTGGGGGAAAAGGTACAGGTAATTGACGTGGGGATTGTGAGAATATGCGCCAAATACCCACCTGTGCATAAAATGGACTTGTCCGACATTTCCGAGGTCGGTTTCTTTTGAGGGAGTCATCATGATTAAAATACGGGTACATTTTATCACCATCCTTGAAGAGGCTTACATAGTGTTGATATCTCATATAAAAAATAAACGACTCGTGGTCGTTGTATATCGTACAATAAAACACTGCGCACCTCATGGTGTATTCTCCCTGCAGTGTTTTATTGTAAGATAAACAACGAACACAAGTTGTTTATTTCTTAATTAATTCCCACTGAGCATTATAAGAATTGTTCTTTTGTGTCCATCGTTTGCGAAGAGGACCACGGTAACGTGACGTCATGTGGACGCATTACCGCACATAATAGAAGATGGCGTAATCCATTGTATATGACGTGTAATGCTGTATGACTTCCTTCCAACAATAGACTAAGCCCCAGCTAAGGCCCGTTCTCGCGGTGCGATTTGTAGTAACAACATGAACAGTTTGCGATTCGATTGCACAATAAGAACACCTAAGTCGTGACGATTTTAAGCCGCATCCAAATAGTTGCAAGCGAGTCGCAGTAACAGAACTTGCAGTCCGTTTGACTCCAAATGAGAACGATGAATTGCAAAATAACTCGAAATCCAGAAAAGTGTATGAAACATCAATACGGTACTTGACCATGAATACCCTGTACCCAACAAAATCTGAATTTTGTTTAATTTAAGACCCATGACGGATGAAGTTCTTTAAATTCTTGAAACGAGCTTCAAAAGCTCTCGGTATGTCCCCTCAGAAACTTAAAAATGTTGTTAGTCGACGAGATACAAATGGTCAGGCCAAGGAGGTAGGGAACATGTCAAAACCACGCAAGGTTGATAAATTAGACAGTTTTCAGAGGGATCAAGTCAGACGTGCAATTGTTAAACTGCACTCAGAAAATAGGTACATGTCCCTAAGAATTTTGAATTTTTTAACGTTTTCTCTGTTGAAAAGACTAATGGTACTATAAAGAAAAACCAACTCTCAACTCAGAAATACTGATTGACCGCCCCTCGTACAATAAGGTTGATGATTTCCCGCCAAGGCTCGGTACTTACAAAATACAATCCGTCAACTTTTGTATCAGAGTTTTGCCTAACAATACAATCCTATCTACACCCTTACCTGGACACCCAATACAACCCCTCAATACCCCAACAGGTCACAGGGTCCCTTTCTCTGAGCAGAGTTGTCATTTGTCTGGAGTCACTGAAGGAGCTCGCTAATTGCAACGTACAATAACATCACAATCCCTGTATGCTAGGTCTATAGTGGTATGGTACCTATGTCCGTGACTAAGCAGGGGGGCAGAAGTGACCCTCATGACCTTCAGTGACCTTCAGTGACCTTCAGTCCAAGTGATTATGTTCATTACAGGGCTCGGGAGGTGTGACGTTATGCAAAATCCATCACACAAATGTACGAACACCGGAGACTTCTTTGTCCAAAACATGGGAACCACAGACCCGTAGCCTGTGGACTTCCCAGCGAGTAGTAGGGGGTCTTACTTATGGTATGCACAATTATGTCCTGCACAGTTTTCCATACATAATGGACACGTGTCACGTGCCAATCTTTATGGTGGCCGTGAGGGGACATCGTTTTCTCCAGAAAACCTCACTCCAGAAAAACACAATTGATAACAACCATACAGTTTAATATATAGATAGAGAATTGTTACATAACTATGAATATTCCTGCTTGAATAAAGAGCCTTAGACTAACATCTTGTCTCTGAAATGAACATATTTTACAGAAAAAAACAGTTGGTAAATTATACTTATAAAATATAGTAAGAAGGAGCCCCGAGATTTTCTTCATTTTCAGATACTGCAGTAGTCTAGACTTGCCAAACATTACAGTTTTCCATGGGATGTATTGGATATATTTGTTTCAGGGTCTGTATGACAGACCAAAAGACCCGACAATACCGATTATTTACTCCCTATTTGTAACATGTATGGTGTAATGACTCTTTTGTTTTTTTCGATTTTTGTGAAGTTTTGAGCATCGGAATATTTCCAATTTCGCACGTCTATTTCATGTTCCGTCTTACTGTGTGGTCATTGATATCCAACACCAGTTTGTGTGTGTTATTCAGTAAGACTATGGTACCTGTCAAGGTCTCATTGGCCTTAATGGCCTTAATTGGCCTTATGTAACAATTATCTGATCAGTTTACATTGCCGATGCCGGTTGATAGTATTCAGTACAGGCTGGCGTTGGGTGCTTTTCAATTTGTTTTACTCGCCCACCTCATGTATGATATACATTACTCACTTCTTTGGAAGGCTCTGCCAATATTCTTCCCGGTTCTCTATCTTTTTATTAGCCTATCTACTTTGTTGTGGCGATGTTCATCCTAACCAAGGACCTATGTATCTTGCCGATTTGAAAATAATACACTTAAAAAATTGCGCAGCATTAAGGATAAGGTAGATTTGATTTACACCTGACTAAGTTCGTATGATATTATTTGTATTTCAGAAACCTGTTTACATACCGGCATCTCCAAGGTCTCCAAGGTTACCAATTACCTTTTCGGAAAGACAGGACAACAAGAGATTATTTTAAACAATCTACTAGAGATGCTATTGATTTGAACATGGTAACTGTCATTGTTGTTGACTAAAACATCGATTATCTGAGTACAAATTGTCGACAGATGAGACATCTAGAAACCTTTTTTGGACTTCAACAAATCATCCCTGAACCAACTAGAATCACGCAAACATGGATTGGGTACGTGAGTCAGGTGTGCTGGATCCCATTTGCAGCGACCACTGTCCTGTATATGTGAAGATCAATAGAGGTTATCACGCGAGTGTGTTTGGGTATGGTAAATATCCTGTATGAGCATTACATATTGTTTATTCCTAATAAAGGATATTTACCATCCCCAAACACACAAGCGCGATAACCTCTTTATCATATACTGTCATTCTTCAATTCTGTGCTTGAAAATCGCTTTCATTCTCTCACAAACATTACGGAAACATTGCAAGTTTTCCTGGAATGTGCGCATTAATATATATTACGTCACAGGGTAAGTGATGTGTAGGTCGGACAGTGACAGTAGCCAATATAGTTCCAAAGGAAACATGTTTCTTATACAGTGGTGAAACTACATATAAGCAACAAAAAAATTGCCTACACAAATTGTTTTACTTGCCTTTCGCGGCAATCTTTAGGCCTGTGCGATAGAGTAATTGCCCTTTGTCAAAGGGGAGCTATCCTAACCCTAGTCTATGCGACGTCAAGGCCACTGTCAGACGTTGTCGACAGTCTGTCCTGTCATGACGTTACGAAGTGCAGTCAAATGTACCCACAACGACAAAACGAAACAAGGTAACAATTCAAACATATTTCGGCCAAATCCAACTTTTTAAAGTGTGGAAAAGGTTCCAAGCCGCAGAGGTTTACAAGCACAGATAAGGCTACTGTTCTCGCTTGGCTAGGACTAGATCTAGTACCCTCGCAAAACTGTTTCGCAATTTATGAGCTTTTGTAATACCTATCTATAATAAGGGGAGTGTTAATCAATGTTCTAACTACCGACATGTTCCTCTCACGCATTGTTTTGCGAAAGTCATCGAAAAGTGTGTTCTT